CAAGACGAGAAGCCTCAGCACCGATGCGCTCAAAGACGTCATTCACGAACGAGTTCATGATTGACATGGCTTTGGAGGAGACACCAGTGTCGGGGTGAACTTGCTTGAGCACACGGTAGATGTAGACCGAGTAGGACTCCTTTCTTGACTTTCTCCTCTTCTTGTCTCCAGAACGAGGGGTCTTCTGGGTCTTGCCGGCCTTCTTGGCTCCCTTGGCGGATGGCTTTGGTGGCATGATGAAGTTGAGAGTTGGCTGGGGTTGTCGAACACAAGATGAAGATTGGGGTTTGGAGGGGCCCTTTTATGAGGGACCGGGTGGAGGGGTCGGGTCTAAAATGATGCCAGGGTTGACCCTGGGGGGTATCCCAATCCCCGCTACAATTTCCCTCTTGCCCTTTTCTCTTATCTTAACCCCGCCCATTCACTCCAGAACCCTCATAAACCCTGCCATTTCCCAAAAGTCTATCGACAGTTCTCAGTCACCAATCTCTCTCAACGATGTCTGGACGTGGTAAAGGAGGCAAAGCCAAGACCGGAGGCAAAGCAAAGTCCCGCTCGGTTCGTGCCGGACTTCCAATTCCCCGTTGGTCGTCTTCACCGTCTCCTCCGCAAGGGCCACTATGCTCAACGTGTCGGAGCTGGAGCCCCAGTCTACCTTGCCGCCGTTCTCGAATACCTCGCCGCTGAGGTGTTGGAGTTGGCCGGTAATGCCGCTCGTGACAACAAGAAGACCAGAATCAACCCCCGCCATCTCCAATTGGCCGTCAGAAACGACGAGGAGTTGAACAAATTGTTGTCAGGAGTCACCATCGCTCAAGGAGGAGTTCTTCCAAACATCCAAGCTGTTCTTCTCCCAAAGAAGACCGCCGGAGACAAGGAATAAGCTGTTGAACAATCAACAAAAAACCCCAAACCCAACGGCCCTCTTTAGGGCCACAAATGATCAAATCTTAAATGAACAATGTAAACTTAAACTTCAAGATGATTCAATTGCTCCAATGAATTCCGTGCTAATTTCAGAGTAAACTTGTAAAATAATTTATTCGCCATTTATAATACAAAAGAATTTTGGTAGGCTATAATTTGTTTTGCTCTTGAATCGTTTACAAGAGATCGGGAATTAGGAGAACTGATGGAACTTTGAAATTTGGATTAGAAATAATAGGTTGATGCATAAGTTTTTTCGTTTTTTTCGTACTTCTGTTAAAAAGTAACAAATTCACCAATTAATCTATAGTTTGCTCTATAAAAAAAGTGTTTTTTTTGTTCAATTTGCATCTTTTTAAATGAATTTCGGTTCACTTTGAAGCAAATTCGAGAGTGAAAAACGCCTTTTCTATCTATAAAAATCTATAAAAAACTCTACGGAAAAATTGGCTGAATGAATTTCTCTGAAATTTTGGCGAAATATCAAACGTTTTTTTTCTCTATCTTTTATCTATTGACACGAAGATAGGTTTTCTTTAGCTAAGGTGTCTAAACCGCATCATCGAGTTAGCCCTTTTTGACTACCCGACTTCATACTCTCAAGAAAATCCAGGCATTAAATATTTTTAAACCCGTTTTAATGTTATTTTGCAGAAAAATAATTGGTTTTTCTAATGAAATCAACCGTAGTTTAATTCGTGCATTTGTTGGCTTCAAACGGCAGACGAAAAGGAACGAAAAGACTTATGCATCAACCTAATAGATTGATTGGAAACAGAATACAGTTGACTCTAACGGAATTCTATATAACGGAAACGAATTTTGGTTCCGGTCGATACTAATCTATATAAAACGGCTATATAAATTCAGTGCTCGTTTCCGAGTAAACTTGTAAAATGATTTATTCGCCATTTATATATAAAAGAATTTTGGTAGGCTATAATTTGTTTTGCTCTTGAATCGTTTACAAGAGACCGCGAATTAGGAGACTGCTGAGAATTTATGGAACTTTGAAATTTGGATTAGAAATAGATTGATTGGAAACATAATACGGTTGACTCTAACAGAATGGAATTTTGGTTCCGGTCGACACTCTATATAACGGAAACATTTTTTGGTCCCTTCCCTATTCCGTTATAGAGAGAGTTGACTGTAGTTTGTTCTTATTAATGTCCAGACAATGTCTTTCCCCTTCGCACTCTTCCACACCCTCTTGTCCACTCCATTGTGGGCTCGAGTGATCGGTGTCTCTAGTGGAGCTTCAGCTGGAGTGTCCGTTGGAGTCTCGATGCCCACCCTTCCCACCCTTCCCACCCTTCCACCAATCTCCACTCCATCTCTCCCCATCTCACTCCCCAATGTGAATGGAGTCTGTGATTGTGCAGTCCTTCCAAACTCGATGCTCTTGTTTGTGTCCTTGGAGTAAGCTTATTCTACAAAATCTTTACCTATCAATCTTCCAGTCTCTCATGTCAACATTCTCTCCAAAGCCATCAAAACCGTCAATGGAGTCACTGATTGGTTGGCCATCGTCAATGGAGTCACTTTTGCTTCCATACACTCTTCAACATCTCCAAATTTTTCAAAGAAATCTCACTCTTCCAACTGTTGTTCTTATTTCTGAGGGTTTCTGTGGATTGGAATTGGAGATTAACACTCTGGTTAACACTGGTTAACACAAGATTAACACTCTGGAGATTAACACATTAACAACCTTCTCTCTGGTAAGAAATTATTGAAATACATCGTGCCAAGTATAGTATTACAGGATTGTTGACCGAAGAAACCAATCTCTACGCCAAGATCTGTCTTTAAGTTCTGACTGTTGTCTTGAATGAAGTCACTCCAATCGTCGCCACTCCGGACTCTGGTAAACTGTATTCTAAAGACAATTCTCAATCTTCAATTCCAGGTCAACCAATCAGTCTTGGACGAAATCCTCGCCGCTGTCCAATCAATTGTCTGTCTTCTTTTGAATCTTCTCAATCTCGGTGCACTCCTTTTTCTCTTCAGATCACTCCCAGCTCTCCTTCAGTATTCAAATATTTGATCAATCTATATCTAATCCAAATTTCAGAGTTCCATCAGTTCTCAGCAGTCTCCCAATCCGAATTCCCAAGCGGAACGAATTACATTGCACAAAGTTTCTTTTGTAAATAGCGAATAAATTATTGAATTATTGGATTGCAAGTTGAATCAAATCTTAAAGCTTCATTTTTTATTCATCAAAAGTATTTACATTGACTTTTAAAAGGTGTTTGAAAGAAGGTCGATTAGCATGTGGGTTGTTGTCTGGAATGTTCAAGTTAGAGTTGAAGTTAGAGTTGAAGTTAGAGTTGAAGTTAGAGTCAAGTTAGAGTTCAGGTTAGAGTTGAAGTTAGAGTTCAAGATAGAGTTCAAGTTAGAGTCCAAGTTAGAGCTCAAGTTAGAGTTCAGGTTAGAGTTCAAGTTATTCTTCAAGTTAGAGTTCAAGTTATTCTTCAAGTCCTAATTACCAAGTTATTCTTTTAAAAAACAGCTTATAATGACATTTTTAAAAAATAAACAGTACTGAAAAACTCACGAGCACAGATTGCTCAATAGATATTTGATGGTGTCATCTAAATCCCAGGGAGTTTCAACCCATCGGGCACATCTTGGAGAGATTTTCTAGAAAATGGTGAATCTGTCAGTTGATTTTCTCTACCTTTGCTTGTACAATGTTTGCTTTTTTTCCATAAGCGATTGGGAAAATCTCGACACCGACAGCTCTCAAATGATAGACGAGTGGGAGAAGATCTTGGAAACTCGAATCATCTCCTATACCTGCGGATCTAAAATAGTTGTTGAATAATATAAAATATTATGATTTCTAAAAAGATTTCAACTTCTGAACTTACGTAAAGTAAACAAGCATCTTTCTTGTGCTTGATCGCATAACATTTCTCATGTTTAGACTTAAAACAAAGTTGAAGAGTCTAAAGAAATTACAGTGTTTAGTCAATTTTCTCTTCACCAACCCATCCAAATCATTTCCAGGATATCCCATATATCCACTGTACATAAATTTGATGATTTGTGTGAGAAAGCTGTTCGCATTTGCTGTTACATTAAAGTGTTGATCGGGGAAGTTAAGCTAAAGAATGAGATAGAATAATGATAAAGATTGAAACTAGCTTTTGAAAGGCTCAACTGTAAGCTATAGCTAGAGAATAAGCTAGAGAATGAGATAGAGAATGAGATAGAGAATGAGATAGACTAATGAAAAAGATTGAAACAGCTGTCAAAGGCCAACGAGCTAGCAGGACAGAGAAAAGCAGAGAAAGATGAGAGATAGACAATGAAAAGATGAAACAGCTTTGAACCCGATATCCACTGACATAAAGTGAGATTGTGGAGAAAGCTGGTCGCATTTGTTGTTACATTAAAGTGTTGATCGGAGAAGTTAAGCTAGAGAATGAGATAGAATAATGATAAAGATTGAAACTAGCTTGTCAAAGGCTCAACTGTAAGCTATAGCTAGAGAATAAGCTAGAGAATAAGCTAGAGAATAAGCTAGAGAATAAGATAGAGAATGAGATAGACTAATGATAAAGATTGAAACTAGCTTGTCAAAGGCTCAACTGTAAGCTATAGCTAGAGAATAAGCTAGAGAATAAGATAGAGAATCAGATAGACTAATGACAAAGATTGAAAGACATTGACAAAGAAGACAAAGATTGAAACTAGCTTTTGAAAGGCTCGACTGTAAGCTATAGCTACAGCTGTAGCTTTTAAAGACTTTAATGATACCGATGATCAATTCTAATCGTTTTTTCACTTACCTGAGAATCGTATGTTCCAAGTAAAACCCTTGTGCGATGTTCATTCAAATAGACGGCTGTTGACAAGTCAACGATTGAATTAATTTCCTAAAAAAGAGAATCTATTTAGCTGCTTTTGCTAAAGACTAGAAAAATCTAGATCTAGAATCTAGTTTTCATTTAATTTCGCTTTGGAAACTTTGCAGACTTGAATTTAAACTTACGCTCATAAAATCATCCTTTGTAACAGTTGAAGAAGAATCAAAAGCTATGATGAGATCGATAATTGGAATATTTGGTTCACAACTTTCATATTCTTTTGCATCTTTTCCATTTTGAAGAACTTGACTTAGAGGTGATAAAGCTAACGCTGAGATTGAGATTAATTGAAAGAAGAAAAGAAGGATGGCTTTCATTTTCTAAACAAAAATTGTTTGATTGACTGAAAAAAATGAATAAAAGCTTAAAAAATTCAAACCAAAGAATAATCAAAAATGAATAAAAGCTAAAATTCAAACCAAAGTCAAGCAAGAAAAATATAAATGATGGGGGTGGGACAAATGCGACGTTTTTTTTGCGCACCTGCACATTTGCGCACCTTTTGCTGGAAAAGGCCTTGGGAAAGGTCGTAGAGCTTCGAAAATGTTTTCATAGAAGGGAATCGTATACGTAGATTCCGAATTTCGACAAATCAGACCTCGCTGACACGTCAAATTTGGGCTAAAAGGCAAAAACTGCGGAAAAGCGTTAAGTTGCGTAGTTTTTGCCTTTTAGCCCAAATTTGACGTGTCAGCGAGGTCTGATTTGTCGAAATTCGGAATCTATGCATACGATTCCCTTATATGGAAATATTTTCGAAGCTCTACGGCCTTTTCCATCAAAAAAAAAGGTGCGCAAATGTCCAGGTGCGCAAAAAAAAGGTCGCAAATTGTCCCACCTCCATAAATGATGAAAGAATGGTGAATCAATAGATTGAGATTAATTGGAGGGAGAAAAGAAGGATGGCTTTCATTTTCTAAACAAAAATTGTTTGATTGACTGACAAAAAATGAATAAAAGCGAAGGAAAAGAAAAATATAAATGATGAAAGAATGGTGAATCAATTAAATCATCAATCAATAAAACATCAATCATTAAATGAAGCTATTCAGCTAACAGCTACTGTAGCTTTAGCTCTAAAGGCTAGCTTAAGTTAGGTTGAAATCATATAAAACCATTTTATAATGTAAATTTGAAGATTAAGATTAAGGTAATGATCAGACTTTCACTTTCAATTTGGAGATTTATATGAGTGATGTTTTATGAAAGATTGTTTGATAAGAGTGATTCTCTAAAAACGTCATTCTTTCAACTTTGCAAAAATTAATTTTTTAAATTAATCAGTAGCTCGAAACAATAAAATTTATTGCAAGCAAAAATCAGCCAAATCAAAGGCTCTCTCAAAAGTCTTGGGCTGTAAATTTGACACTAAATGATGATTTCCGGAATTTTGTGACAATTTTATGTACATGAATTGAACTTGATATCATTAAAGCTGACAAATCGTTTTTCATTCTAATATTTATTAGCCCACGCACATTTTCCATTACATTTCCCTTCTTTACCACGTCTAGACATTGTTGAGAGAATTCAAGAGATTCGCGATTGAAAACTGTCGATAGATTGAGATGGGAAGCGTCGGTTTATGAAGCCATCCACCAAGAAGACCCCTCGTTCTGGAGACAAGAAGAGGAGAAAGTCAAGAAAGGAGTCCTACTCGGTCTACATCTACCGTGTGCTCAAGCAAGTTCACCCCGACACTGGTGTCTCCTCCAAAGCCATGTCAATCATGAACTCTTTCGTGAATGACGTCTTTGAGCGCATCGGTGCTGAGGCTTCTCGTCTTGCTCACTACAACAAACGGTCAACGATCTCATCCCGTGAAATCCAGACCGCTGTCCGTCTCATCTTGCCCGGAGAGCTCGCCAAGCACGCCGTCTCTGAGGGTACCAAGGCTGTCACCAAGTACACCTCTTCCAAATAAACCTCCCAGAGATTTAAAGGAAACAAAGCCCCAACCCAACGGCCCTCTTTAGGGCCACAAATGAATTTGAACTCAAAAGTATAAAAAGCAATAGTGAATTTAGATCATTTCAAGCTTTTTGCCTAGTACAAACAATGTGAATAAGTTGCTTAAACGAATTGTAAATGTTAGAATTGTTAGATTCTCTAAATTACTGTAGAATGCTTTAAGAAGACAAATAAGCCTAGAAAATAAGCCTTTATCGTACCAAGGCTTCTGTGATGAATCGTTATTCTTCTGTAAGCCTTTTCATTTAGACAAATTTACTCGTAAATTCTCCTGATTTGGACTTGAACTTCTAGAGAAATTTTTTCTTGGTCCCAGTTCACATAGCATTCTTTGACAACAACTGTGTTACTCAAAACTCAAAGTCACAAACATAAAGCTAGAACTTTGGTTTTTAATTTTCATACATTTTGGTCTATTTCTTTGCGACATCCTGACGGGGTCTATTACTCAATGACCCATTTTGGGGACAAATTTAGCGCCAAAACACCTGAAGTAATGCCAATGGCTTGAAAGAACAAGGGTTAAATTAAGGAAATTAATCAAAGGCTGCCTAGAGAAGTGATGAAAGGTCATGAAAAAGACGCAAGGGGTACCAGAGGTTATGTGGGTCAATAAGCAGCAAATTGGCTTGAATTTGAATCCAAAGAAGTATAAAATGAACTTATCTCTAGCAAATATGCACTTAAAACTAAGTTCTTACAAAGATGATTGGCAGGTTTGCAAAGAATCTATGAAAGTGATGCAGTGGCTAAGAGTTTAAAGTGCATTGGGTAATTGCTGTTAGTGAGTGAGAGATTAAACGGTTCTTCTTAAATCAGTAGGTGTTATGAGGCCAGTTTCTCTTAAATTGTAAACGAATGACATGGAGTGCGTTTCGAGTTTCTCGACAAACTTTTGGTTTCAGAGCATTGATTTGACAGAACTCCTTATATTTAGAGTCTTGTTCATGATTCCTTTTGAAAATTCTTTCATTTGTGGCCCTAAAGAGGGCCGTTGGGTTTGGGGTTTTTCAATGGTTCAGTGCTGTGAACATTTAAGCACGCTCTCCACGGATGCGGCGGGCGAGTTGGATGTCCTTTGGCATGATGGTGACACGCTTGGCGTGGATGGCACAGAGGTTGGTGTCCTCGAAGAGACCGACGAGGTAAGCCTCTGAAGCCTCTTGAAGAGCCATCACAGCCGACGATTGGAAGCGGAGGTCGGTCTTGAAGTCTTGAGCGATTTCACGGACAAGTCGCTGGAAGGGCAGCTTGCGGATGAGAAGCTCGGTGGACTTCTGGTACCGACGGATCTCACGAAGAGCCACAGTTCCCGGACGGTAACGGTGGGGCTTCTTGACTCCTCCGGTGGCTGGGGCCGATTTGCGGGCAGCCTTCGTGGCCAATTGTTTGCGGGAGCCTTTCCTCCAGTCGATTTGCGAGCGGTTTGCTTGGTGCGAGCCATTTTCGAGTCAGATGCGATACACTGATGGTTATTGAGGGAAAGAGAGGGTCTTTTAAAGGGCTTGGGGGCGAGGGGCGGGGCAAGGAAAATAGAATTGGAGGGAGAAACTATCTCGTGAAGTGGATGGGCGGGGTCACCTTACCCAACTTTGGCATCTCTCTTCTCTCCCCGGCATCCCAACTGGAACCCAAGTCTTTTCCCCTATAAATACCCCATCCAATCCACTGATTCCCCATCTCATCACTGAGCAACTCAAGAATGTCTGGACGTGGAAAGGGAGGCAAAGGACTCGGCAAGGGAGGCGCCAAGCGTCATCGCAAAGTTCTCCGCGATAACATCCAAGGAATCACGAAGCCGGCTATCCGCCGTTTGGCCCGTCGTGGTGGTGTGAAGCGTATCTCTGGATTGATCTACGAGGAAACCCGTGGAGTTCTCAAGGTGTTCTTGGAGAATGTGATCCGTGATGCCGTCACCTATTGTGAGCACGCCAAGAGAAAGACTGTGACCGCCATGGATGTGGTCTATGCCTTGAAGCGTCAAGGACGTACTTTGTACGGATTCGGTGGATAAGAACCCAGGAGAAGCAATTCTCAAAATAAAACCCCAACCCAACGGCCCTCTTTAGGGCCACAAATGATTCTCTAGTTAAATTTATAAATGACTTAAAGCTGAAAACTCTTCCTAACTAATTTTTAGTCTAGTTTTTGGCATAAAGATTTGCTAAACCTTTAAACAAGTTTTGCTTTTTTCGGCTTTCCCACGATCTTAAGGGATTTTGAAAGAGATTCAATAAGATTGTAAAAAAGATTTCCGATACGAGTTACTACTCTGAGTTGTTAACTAACTAACTAACTAACTAATTACCTAACTAACTAACTAACTAACTAACTAACTACCTAACTAACTAACTACCTAACTAACTAACTAACTAATTAATTAACTACCTAACTAACTAATTAATTAACTAACTAACTAACTAACTAAAACTAAACTAAATTAAACATCATTCTAACTAAAAGTACTAAATGGATATCCCATAAAAATCCATTTTAAATTATCTGCATCGGGAAAACCCTAAGCTACACTTTTTTTTGAGAATTTCTTCTCATTTGTTATCAGAGATGAGAATACGCTCGTAAATTCACACACAGTTTGACAAGGATTGAAAAAAGGAAAAAAAAAGAAAGGGAATCTGACTACTGAATGGGTGTAACACCCAAAAAAAAATGAGATAAGAGAAAAACGAAGACTTGAAGATTTAAAATTTGAAAGAAAGAAGATATAGCTTACCTTTCTCAACATTGCTTTTGTTAAAGTACTTTTTCTTAGTACTGCTTTAAAATTGTTTAAGTGTACAGCTGAAAAATGCTACGAAAGAGTAGGATTTAAAAATGGGCAAGACTTTAAAGTTATTCCAAAACTCGTGGACATTAAAAGAGTGTGACTAGATCACTCTAGATCACTCTAGACTGCTTAAACTCATCAAGTTAAAGATCTAGTGAAATTCTTGATTAAATTTCGTATAAGTTATCCAGAAATCTCTACAAATCACTTGTAAAAATCATCATTTTTATTGGGTTGGTGAATTGAAAACTGCCGGACTTTGAACTAAAATTTATTCAACATAAAACCATCAATTCATTCGAAATAATTTCCATTATTATTGATGACTTCTGCCCATTTTACAAGCAATTTGCGGATTCCTCTTTCTTTGTAGGATTTTGGTTTTGAATCGAAAAACTTTCAAAGCCAATTTTTGACTGCTTCTTCCGAATCGAAGTTTTCTCCCGCAAGCTCATTACTCATGATCCGGAATAAATAGTAATCAAAAGGGGGGAGGTCTGGACCATATGGGGATGCGCCAAAAGTTCCCAAACAAGGCTATTTATTGTAAGAAATGTAAGAAAAGCTAGATAGACAAATATTACATTACTATTGACGACTTCTGCTCATTTTACAAGCAATTTGCGGATTCCTCTTTCTTTGTAAGATTTTGGTTTGTGTGTGAGACAAGTGTGAGACTCAAAAATGGAGGACTGGAGATGTTCATATGTCATAGTTTGAGCACTTTCTTCAAAAGAAACCCATTTTGGTGTGAATAGAAAAGTTGTAGAGAATCAAAAATTAGGCTTATAGCCAAATTTCCAAAAAGATACACTTAGTAGTTTCGCTTAAAATGCAAGTTTTGTGAAAATTCGAAAATTTGGGATTTCTTGAAAACTAGTTTTTGAATCGTTCTGAAAATTTGGATATAAGCTTGATTTTTGATTCTCTACAACTTTTCCATTGACACAAAAATGGGTTTCTTTTGAAGAAAGTGCTCAAGTACTGCTTGAGTTTCTTAGTACTGCTTTAAAATTGTTTAAAGTGTACAGCTGAAAAATGCTACGAAAGAGTAGGATTTAAAATGGGGCAAGACTTTAAAGTTATTCCAAAACTCGTGGACATTAAAAGAGCGTGACTAGATCACTCTAGATCACTCTAGACTGCTTAAACTCATCAAGTTAAAGATCTAGTGAAATTCTTGATTAAATTAAATTCTTATAAATCATTCAGAAATCTCTACAAATCACTTCCAAAAATCATCATTTTTAGCATAACCAATAAATTCTGGTTTTCCCTGTAGAAGCCGATAAATTCACGCAAACACACCCAGTAGAAATGGGTGTGGAAGAGATAAATCAAATTTGAGATAAGAGTGAATCCAGTGATGAATCCACGCTGGCTTCTGTTTGCTGGGAGATTTTATCTCAGAAACAATGAATATCCCTTCTTATTACCCTCAAATTACAATTTCTTGAATCTTAACCCATTCAGTAATCTTCTTTAATAATCTTTAGCCTCTTTAGCCAGTTTAGCCAGTTTTTCATAGCCAGTTTAGCCAGTTTTGTATAGCCAGTTTAGCCAGTCTAGCCAGTTTTGCATAGCCAGTTTAGCCAGTTTTGAATAGCCAGTTTAGCCAGTTTAGCCAGTTTTGCATAGCCAGTTTAGCCAGTTTTGAATAGCCAACTTAGCCAGTTTTGCATAGCTAGTTTAGCCAGTTTTTCCTAGCCAGTTTAGCCAGTTTTGCATAGCCAGTTCTTTTTCAAACATTACCCTTTAAATCAAGCTCCTCACAGCTCTTGTATTCTATTTTAAATCACCATTTCCTAAAGCAATTTTAGGCAATGGGTTGGTTAAGGACAGCGGCCTTTGTGGCCGTTGTAATCCTTTCCATGGCTGAGGCTACAGTAGGAAAGAAGAAAACAAGATATGGGCAGATTGACTTATCCAAAGTCGATATGGAACAACATCTAGGAAAAAGTGAGTAAAAGATTTATTGAAATTGAGCATTCAATACTTTAGTGAAACGCTTCTTGACCGCTAAAATGGCTCACATTCACGAGGAACACAAAGAACCGCCAAAATTCAAGCCGATGCCACCAAAGACTGTTTGTTTTTAGAAAAGCTCGTATTTAAAGAAGTTAACTGTCAGTTAGCAGTTAGGTAAATCCAAAAAATATTCTAGCTTCCCCACTCTCTCGATATGGGATGTGATCCGGGATGGATGGGAACGAACTGCACAAATCGTGAGTCGTAAATCTTGTTCTCTTAAAGCTTTACCTTTTTGCTTTACCTTTTAGCCGTTTGCGCAAAGGAGACTCAACCTTTCTTCACTCACGATGGACTCAATGAGGGAATTGGTGATATGATTGAGATGGATGTTGGACCGACTTGTGTTGAGAGGTTGGGCAAGTTAGAGTTGTACGACAAAGTTGCCTGCAAGTCCTTAACTTGCTGCATTCTTTCTTTCTTCTTCCTAGCTTCTTCCTAGCTCTTCTTCTTCCTAGCTTCTTCCTAGCTCTTCTTCTTTCTTTCTTCTTCCTAGCTTCTTCCATCGCTCAGTGACAAGCAGAGGGTTCAATCCTGATTCTAAAGTTTCATTTTTACTTTATTAACTTCTCAAAAGCAGTTCCATCTTTTCAGATTCACCTTCCCAGTGGACTATGCTATTCCCATCAACCTTTACATCACTGTGACCACAGATGAGTCAGGCAGTACTCCGTATGCTCGACTCTACGATCCAATGAGTGAATCAAAAAAAACGATCTCTAGAAAAATAGGATTTCAGTGAACGAAGTGATTCCTTGTGGAGACGATATTATCAGCGATCGATCAACCGTGCAAAAGTATTGTACTTTGATGCTGACGAGTGGAGAGGGATTGTACACAGCTGAATTGCATTCAGATACACAAGCGTAAGTGAAATGGATAAGAAGCTAGCTAGAGGATTGTAGCTTCAACTAAATTAAGCTTCAGCTACATTGATCACTCGATTATCTCTCTTATTTCAGCCCCTGTGTGTTCCTAGTGAACGCTGGGACTTTCCTGTATCCAGATGGAGGCTTTGTGCAATCACCACAAGAAGATGTTGTTCAAGAATACTTGCCAAAACCAAATCAGGCTATTTCACGGTAAATTCTGAACTTACTTTCAATAGAAAATCCTTTTAGCAATCCACTACAAGGCATTCCATCGTACCTAGCCTTCAGGATGACCCATGACGTGTATCCCGTTGAGCCACAAGTAACTAGAGCTATCATTTGCAAAGGAAATATTGTTTAGGTGGTACACATCTATTCAAACGGTTTCTGGGTTCAGAACTTCAATCTGATTGCTAGGTTTGTTCTGACAGGCTCAGGCTTAGGCTCAGGCTCAGGCTTAGGCTTAGGCTTAGGCTTAGGCTTAGGCTTAGGCTCAGGCTTAGGCTTAGGCTTAGGCTCAGGCTTAGGCTTAGGCTTAGGCTTAGGCTTAGGCTTAGGCTTAGGCTTGAAAAGAAATCTTGAACTTGAAATCTTGAAAATCTTCAAATTGGAAACTGAAGTCTTACCTGCCTAGGATCACTTGTTGTCGGACAGATGGACAGACACTCTTTTATATATATAGCAAATCAAAAACCTTAGATACAAATGTGCTACCCCACACATCACTGTCCAGACATTCAACTGCACACAAGAGGACCAGTATTACTTGAAATTCCAAGGAATTGATGAGCATGTAAGGCTTACTGACTTTATTTTCCTTTAATTGAGCTAGCAAAAAGGAATTGATTTTCAGGGAATGGCCTGGCAAAGACTCTACGAGTTTGGATGTGATTATCCCATCCCAACGGGCACTTATCCCACTGGTGGCCCGCCAACTCCGGCACCCGTTGACATGTGCTACAATGAGGGACAACTCTACAATGGTGTAAGTTATAAATTTATCTTGAACTGTGAACTGTGAACTGTGCAATTCTCTCTTTCAGACTTGTTATTGCGGTCCGTTCTTTGAAGGAGACAAGTGCGAGATCATCGTTTGTTTGAATGATGGAGGAATCGATTTCCAGAAAAATAAATGTGTTTGTGGGGCTGGCTATTCGGGAGATCATTGTGAACATGGTAAAAGATTTGGAAAGGAAAATAAGCAAAAAGATTTAAGTGTCTTGCCCAAGGCGAAACTATGATACAAATGATTTGAGTAAGCGAGCTCTCGGCTTCGTCATTCGATCATCTCAATCGATGCAAGCTCAGGTAAGTGTTTGAAAGAGCTATTTATTCTAATTGTTGTCTAACAATTGTTGTCTAACAATTTAAAATACAATCAAAGCAAGAAGATTTTGATGTCTTTTCCAAAGTTTTGTGATTTTGAAACTTTCAGATGGATCAAATCGTGCTCGCCGCTCAGAACATCACCGATCAATACGCTTTGTATCACCCCGATTACTTCCAATCATACATTCTTTCAGTCGTTCGAAACAATGGTATGATGAAGGGGATTATAAGCTTTGATTCGATCTACATGTCTCATAAATTAAATAAATTCCAGCGGTACTCTTCACCCACGAGTATCTCGACGTTCAAGGCTTCATCTCAGCCATTCGTTCCTTGACTAATCCACCGACTGATACTGGTTAGATTTTTGAATATAAAAATCCAAATTAAATATATAATTGATTATTACAGTTATTAGAAGGTGTTTATCTAATATTTGTATTCAGATTGTGACGATGCTCTTTTGTTGGGTGTGACTGAGGTGCTTGAACAGCCAGCTTTCCAGAAATATCAGGTAAGGTTTTAAAGTTAGAAATTCATTTGCTGTTATCAAGCAATAAATCTTTAGAAATCACCGATTTTCATCTTCTCCGATGGAACGGCGAATGATGACACGGATGTCCGCTATGCTCTTCTCAATTCTCTCTCACATTTCCGCGGACAACTCTTCTTTATTCTTTCAGATTCAGTTACTGGAAGGTTTGTGATCAAAAATAGCTTTGTCTAGCTAGCTTTATCTCTAGAATTGTCTCTAGAATCTAGAATTTCCTAGCTTTGTCTCTAGAATCGTCTCTAGAATCTAGAGTTTTCTAGCTTTGTCTCTAGAATCGGCTTTGTAAAACCCACAATTTCCCACAATTTGATCAGAGTTTTCAAAAAGATTTTAGATGTAATATCGCTCTCGATGATGTTGGATATGCCCAAATGAGAGGCCTTGCCGCTTTCTCGCAAGGACAAGTGATCAAGGTTCATTGTTAAATCATTAAAGAAAGCTTAGAAAACAAAAAAAATCCCTTTAGATCGCCATCAACGACATCGCATCCACTTCGGTGATGTTGGCTGAGTCAACGTTTATGATGAATGAGTTGATCACAAATGATCTCGATGATTGCTCACAAGCACCCAAATACAACACTTTCTTCATTGATGAGAACACCGATTATGTGATGATTACGGCTACGGGAACGAAATTGTCTGCTTTGGTCACAGCGCCGAATCGAACCACGTTTGCTCCATCTTTGTGGTATCAATCGGGAAATCTTTACATCTGGGCGATTGACACGGACAGTCTAGCAATTGGAAATTGGCTGGTGAGTGGGATTTAGTGTGGAATCATAGAGTCGTGTGATTTAAAATAAAAAATTCGAAAATACAAAATTGCGGGGGGTCGAACCCGGAGGGAGTGGGCTGCAGTGAAGAGCGCTCACGATTGCGCCATGGAGACAGCCAGACGGCCCGGAAAAATCCAGCTAGTAAAATCCTTCCCCGAAACATCCAACCATAAAATTCTTTCTGAAACCGCCTGACTGGTTTTTCTGGCAGAATGTTTCGGTGGAGTCCCCGTGGCGGTGGAGTCCCTTGTTGTCCCCGTGGTGGAGTCCGGTGGAGTCCCTTGTTGTCCCCGTGGTGGAGTCCGGTGGAGTCCCTTCTTGTCCCCGTGGTGGAGTCCGGTGGAGTCCCTTGTTGTCCCCGTGGTGGAGTCCGGTGGAGTCCCAATTTCGGTGGAGTTCCTTCTTGTCCCCGTGGTGGAGTCCGGTGGAGTCCCTTGTTGTCCCCGTGGTGGAGTCCGGTGGAGTCCCAATTTCGGTGGAGTCCCTTGTTGTCCCCGTGGGGCAGTTGTGTGCTCGCTTGTCTACAACCCACATGACCCGGGTTCGATTCCCCGTAGTGCCACTCACTTTGCCTTTAAATCTTGAATTTCGGCTGATTCTTCTATACAACTTCTATTTTAGATAAGCATGTCAACACTCGCAGCCGGAAAAACTGTGTGTCAATATCGTGTCTCAGCTCATTCCGACTATGATCTTTTCATCGGCGTCACTTCATCGTTGAACTCTGACACAACGGACACGCAACCAACCTGGAATCAAGCAGCTCACATCGTCGCTCGAATCAACAACGTTCACAACGTCGACAATCTGGCGATTCACGCCGAGGTGATGATCACAACAAATGATGGTGAGTAACTGAATCACAATTGTACGATCAAATTCCTTACAATCCCCTTCGTTTAGTTGGTGGCCGTCGATCGATTGTCTACGCCTCATCCGGAATCTATCGTGACAATTGCGACTATTATCTTTACTTTGGCCCATTCACCTGCAACACACCGAATCAAATGTTCTATGTGAGCGTCTATTCAACTGACCTCCAAGGCCACACTTTGCTCAGGTACAAGAGAAATCTATTAACAATAGACAAGGCAATTTCAGAACAACAACCGGCTTTTGCTCTGCCTCAGCGCCGACCGTCATTCCGCCAGACGGTTGCGCGAATGGAGGAGTGATGGTGAACGGCACTTGCATTTGTGCTAATCACTACAATGGACCCAAATGCCAAGGAATTCTTTGTGAAAATCAGGTACTACAGCCTTAATCTAGAGCTAAAGCCCATTGGAGTTGGCTCTTATTTGTACAAGTTTCAACTTACGACTTTGAACTTACGTTCACTTGTTCAAGATTGAAATCCCAAAATTTTTAGGGAACACCCCTCTTCGGCAAATGTCAATGTCCAGCCGGCTTTTCTGGAGAATTCTGCGAATCACCAGCTTGCAACTCTATCAACACATGGAAACAATATGACCTCAACAGCAAATCCCTATCCGTTCTCATTCATGACTCGATTTCAACAAGATCTGTGAGTTTTTGCATTGCAATAACTTTAATTTTTGTTGTTTTAGGTTCTCCGTACGTTGAACGACTCAGTGAGTCGCGTGATCGATGATATTCGTTTCACACATCCGAACTGGATCACTTCTTTCCAGGTATACTGTAGATGGATGCTGTGGCTGCTTACTGTAGCTGGATACAGTGGCTGGACGCTCTAGCTAGATACTGTAGCCAGGCTACTGTAGCTGGATACTGTGGCTGCTTGTAGCTGGATACAGTGGCTGGATACTCTAGCTAGATACTGTAGCCAGGATACTGTAACTGGGTACTGTAGCTAGGGTACTACAGCTGGGGCACAAAATATTTCAAAAACTTTAGCTCCTCCGCTTCAACGACAGCGCCCACACCACAGAAGTTGACTCCTCCGATCCAAATGATTTCATCAATGTAAGTACAAAAAACTGTTCTCATACTATAGCACAATCTTAGGGAGTGCGCAATTTGGCCAAGCGGAACTATGACAATTCGGAGATTTCATGCCAGGATTTGGATCTATTCCCAGCACTTTTCGACACATTGTCTCTTCACGATTTATCATTTGGCGGCATCGTCTACGTTTTCATCAACGGAGTACCCAGGGTAAGCTTTGAGATAGGATTTAGCAAGCTTTCAGTTGAATAGTTTAGCTGGGGTACTGTAAGAGTAGCGGAGCTGAGAGTACTATAGGTGTAGCGTCAAAGGAAAAATTTTTAGATGAACGACACAACCTTGCAACGAATCTACAATCATCTCGAGTCGACGAAAACCACGATCATGGTTATCCAAACAGCCACTTCACCCTGTGGAAAGGTTTAGAATCTTGAAAATTGTTATTTTCCTGCAAAAAAACTGCAATTGTTATTTTCCAGGACATCTACGATTCGGCTTCAATCTCATTGATGAGCCTAGCCGAGTACACGGGCGGTATGTTCACAATTTCGATGGCCAACAAGGCTGGAGACATTTTCCGGTTTGTTTATTTGATAATTTCATCCAGAATTAGCTGTATAGGATAATTTAGCTAGTGTTTCTACAAATTTAGCTAGAGTTGCTAATTTTCAGCTCTCTTCCTACCTTGTACAGTGCTCAACTCGTCACTGAGAACTACTACGATGATTGCACTGCACCAACAACTTTCTATATTCCCGTTGATTCACTCACACAGGCTTTAGACATTGTCATCAATGTAAGACTTTGTTTTTTGAAACTTTCTTGACTAAGAAATGAAATCTAATTGTAAATTATTAATTATTTTTTAGGGAGATCTTGTCGGTCCACCAGTTTACGTAGCTCCAAATAGCAATCGATTCAATTTGGTCAATTTGTGGAACGATGTTGGATATGGATCTCGTGCTGATCAAATTATTCAACCTTGTGACCAAGGCTGGGATCAATACGACAATCGGTGCTTCAAGTTTGGCTTGACAAAGGTGAGTGGTGAAGGAGAGGTCAAAGCTGGCAACAGATGTGCTTTAGGTGAGCTGGACTGACGCTGCATTAACCTGCCATCAACAAGGCGCCTCTTTGGCTTCAATTTTCAACCAAGGAGATCAAGATTTCTTGTCTTATCAAGCTGGATCGGCTATCGATTATTGGATTGGACTCAATTATCAAAATGTAGTTCAGTAATGATTTTCGAAAAAGAAATAATTTAGACTTCGGGATCTTTTGTTTGGGATACTCCATTTAACACTTCGCTCACCCTTGACTCAACTGGATTTACAAATTGGGCCACTGGGCAACCAGTGATGGATCCGGGAAAGACTTGCGTCTACGACAGTCAGAGTGGAATGCTCGGTGGAAAGGGATGGAATGCTGTTGGGTGGGTGTTCAAATTGTTGTACTTTGAAAGCTTTTTCCTTTTTCCACCATGCAACCGGGTTACTGTCACTTCTGAGTTAATGATTTTATTTAGCTGTACCCAGAAATTCGCCTACATCTGTCAGAAGAACGTCTACAATCAGTACTTCACTCCACGAGATCCCAACTCGGATTTCTTGCCTAGAGGTAATTTAGGAATAAAAATCTAGTATTAGATCAGTAGTTGAATTCAAAATTTTTATTAAAAACTTATAGGTATCTGGCAAGTGACAATTCAAACCGATGAGGGAAGTTGCTCGGTGGCTGGAGTGGCTCAAACACAGCTTCGGTAATTAGATAATTAAATTGATTAGAATTAGAATTAGGATTAGATTGATTTAAAATCAAATCAGCGACTTTGTAGAGTCTACACCCAGTACACTAGCGACATTCATGACGATTTCGGTCACCCAGAGCCCTACCAAGTAAGCGAAGTTGTTTGAACTGGTTTGTATCTGAATTTGAATGTGGAAAACATTTACAGTACATTTACAGTACACAATTTAGCTGTGTTTAGCACTGTAATGTACTGTACTGTAATGTAATGTAAATCGAAATCCTAGGGCGCAGTCGAGAACCGAGTGATCGCGACTGTGATGGGACTCCTTCCATCAACCACATATTCTCTCGAGTACGCCCATCTCTACATGGACAATCTCACCATCATTCAGGTTACAATAACAGTCATTTACTTATCAATCACGTGCAATCAACTTAATCTCAATTTCCTAGGCTCAACCGATGCGTCATCGTGAGAACTGTGTCTTTGACTACATCTCGTCACCCTTCCAATGCCCTTCCATGACTTTCCAGGTTACTAAAATCATCTTGCGAAGTTCTAAGCAAAGATTTTAGATGATGCTATCAGGAGTTGACAATTATGGATATCTTTATCAACGTGTGATTCCAGTCCGCTGTCAAGCTGGACCATTAGATGGCGAATGCGAGAATGGAGCTCAATACTACAAGTGATTGTTACAAGTTTTCATGGATTTGTTTTTATAAATTTATTCCAGAGGATCTTGCGTCTGTCCACCTGGATTTTTCGGAGAATATTGTCAAGTAAGAAAATAGGAAATTCTATTAAAAAAGGTCTTTAGTTGATCGATTGTCAGAATGGTGGCCACTTCACAGCCGCGTTGGGCAGTTGTGAATGCAGAACTGGTGAGTTTCAGAAAGAGATCGAATCTCTATAAATCCTAATTACAATTATAACAAAGTTCAAGTTTTTCAGGTTTCACTGGAACTTTCTGCGAGATTCCCCAATGTACTCGTGGTGGAAACAAGCCTGATTTAGACCGAGAACATCGTACTTTCGTTCTACTTGTTGATGGAGTCCAAGTACGTGAATAGTACGCAATATTTTAAATTTAAATTTGTCAGACTCCATCCTACAAGCCATTCCTCGATGGCCTTCAAGACGGTTTGACCCAATTCTTTGGCCAAATCATGCCCCAATTGCCTAACTGGTGGACGAGCTTTGTTGGAGTGATCTTCAGGGTGAGAAATATCGTATTGTAGAATGCTAAAGCTATTGTAAGAACTCTAGCAGCTTTAAATTTGAATACTATGAAAATAAAGTCATAATTTTAAACCCTATCCTCTCATTATTTTAGAACGCTGACGCTGCCGATCACGGAGGAGTTGTTTCCTCAGTCGTCACTCAAAGCGCCCCCGATACGTTCAATCAAGCGCTTAATGTAAGTATTTTCAATGGTTGAATTTATTATTCATCTTATTTAACAATTTTAGGCCCTTCTTGCCCAAATCCCTTACAAATCAACAAGCCCAGGGCGATCAGTTTTCACGGCAATGGTCGCCGCGTTAACTGCTCCACAGGTTAGTTTTCAAATATATTTCCTTCTCTTTCTTCTTTTCTTTCTCTTCCTTATGTTTTCTATTTCTTCTTGGGGAAAGAAGGCCTCGATACCGGACCGTGACCGGACGACCGGACGAATGATCTACCATTGAGCAATGGTAGAGCATCTATCCGGTCGTCCGGTCACCAGCAGAAGGTCGAGGATTCAATTCCCTCTCGATTCTAAATTCTTTGTCGTTAATTTCTTTGTTTTATAAGTTGCGAGTACGGTAATGTGGTACGGATTAGTCTCTTATAGCCTTATAGACTTCTTATTCTTGATAATTCACCTCTTTCACTTCCAGGTGAAATCCCGTTCCGTTGCTTTCCTCATCCTCAACGGTGTTCCCGATGATTGGACTGATATGGATATGGCCATGGATGTGATTTCAAAGACAAACACACAAGTGAGATTATGGAAGAGGATTTGTTGAAATGAGTAGTTTTTAGGTGAATTTGCTAGCTTATGGTGACACGAATCCTCCAGGAAACGCTTCATACCAAGATCTTCAACCACTCTTCGACACGATTCACATGTCGGGTGGAGCTGTGTATTTCATGAAGACCGACGACTTCTTCAAGCCATGGGCTGATGTAAGTAGTAACTTGCTGTAGCTTGACTTCAATTAGTTTACAATGTGATCTTCAATCTTTTCCAGATGGCCTACACTCTGCACGGTGGTCATTACATTCTCTCAACATACCGTCAAGATTGCTCAAATCTTGATGAATATATTCAAACTGGTTCCAACCAGTCAGCACTCGTTGTTGACATTTTCGCTGAACAACAACCCGTTGTTAAGGTCACTAGTCCAAATGGTGAGCATGAGCTTTGTTTATTTTAGCGCTATTATAGTTAACGTTGAGTTTAAAATCAATCCGAATAAACAAAAAAACTTTTAGATACAACGGTTCGCGCGCAAAACGCCTTCTCGACCCTTACAAACACCATCGATGTGTTTGTCGCATTGTGGATGCCCGGAATTTGGACTCTCGGAATTGATGATGGAAATGATCGAAGTGGTGGTTGCATGGTAAAAGAAAAAAATAGAGAAAGTTTGAAATTTATTCTTTAGGTAAATGTTCGTGGTCAATCAGCGGTTGATGTGATGATCGCTTTCACGCAAGATGTCGAAGAAGATGGAGGAGTTCACTCGAATGATGCCTATCTTTTCCCACAAGCTGGCTGTGAGTTTTGTTTTGAAAATAATGACACAGAGAACTGTGTCATTGTAAAGTTATGGTCATTCAAGAGTCTCTAACTCTAAGAATAGCTGACTAACTGACAATCTTAGTTCAAAAGAACTGAATATTATCGAAATTCTCATCGACTTATCGACTTCTACTTAGCTTAAAGTTATAACCTTTTTGAAAGCTCAATTTTCTTAATAACTTTAGACAAAAGTGATTCTTACAAAAGACTCACAAAACTCTGTTCAATTTCAGTCGAAACAAACGCAATTGTGGCGGCAGCAAGCGGTGGATACCTTCAATACGTTCAACTGTACGATGTCGAAGAGAGAACACTTCAATTCGCTTCTCCTTTGATCCCAAGAGCTCTTTGCACATTCCCCTACATTTCACAAAGGTCAGTCGGAATCTAGCTTTATTTTAACCAAGTCTTTAGCACTTTCCGTTGTGATCGTCACTCATTCACGGTCGCTATTGATGGATTGGACTTTATGGGACATCCATTCAGACGAATGTTCACCATTCATTGTGTCGGATACATTCCAACAAGAGGTATGTTCTTCATTTTGAATGATTCGTGTAGTGGAAAGTGAAGATCAAGTGGATCCATTCTCCGATATTAGAAAACATCTTAAGTTACATCTTAAATAAGTTCAAGCCTGAGTACTTGCCTTTGTGGAAACATCAAGATTAATCTATCTCGAAATAATTCAACTTTCAGCTCCATACACTGGTACTCCGTACACCGGCACTCGACCAACTGAGGCTCCAATCACCACCAGCCCACTACCAATCTATCCAACTTGCTCTAGCAATGTGCCGAAGATTGACATCATCATCGCTTTTGATTCGTCTGCTTCGATGCCAAAGGACGTGTTTTTGGAGGTAAGTATATATAGAAAAAATATATCAGACTTAGCTTATCAAATCCCAAGCTTTCCAGATCATTGACCAATTCTATGAGTTAGGCAGTGCAGTGGTCTTCGACAAGGACCATGTTCGTATCATTGCTGGCACTTATGATGCACAGGTTTGGTAAAGTATTCTCCTTTTAGAATTGACTCTAGGTCCACTTCGAGATGCAAGATTTCAACTCGACTGTCAACCTTTCAACCTATTTGACGAGATTGGTCGCATTGTTGTACTCTGGATACACGGGAGTATCTGGAAACAATGTGATGGGGTTAGAAATTATGATTAAATGAATCCATTTTCTGAATTCATTCGATTTTGCTCTTTTCAGCTTGATTGACTACATCATAAAGAGTGAAAACGCGGTGACACCGTTCCGAACGGATGCCAGGAAAATGATCATCTACTACAGGTAATCTAAGCCAGCCACAAGAAAACTATACAATACATAGGCCTTGCTAGTTGCGTATAATAGCTTTTGTACTTTGTATTAGCTTTTGCATAATGCAAGCTTTCCAGAAATTCCTGTTTACAGTCTTAGGTTACACGAAGATACCTTAGCTATAGTAAAGTAGTGGTAAATTTAGTAGTAAAGTAAATTTCACTTTAGCACTCTTGGTTGGGACAAGGGCAACATCCACGACAATCAAGAGACTGGTTTCGGTGATCCGACCAAAGACGCGAATGACCTCAAGTTGCTGGGAGTTGAGTTTTTCACTATCGGCTATGGATCGAAAGCGAATGCCACTCAACTACAGGTGGGCATATGTTACGAAAGAATCCGATTCTGTTGTTAGAATCCGATTCTGTCGATAGAATCCGATTCTGTCGATAGAATCCGATTCTGTTGTTAGAATCCGATTCTGTCGACAGAATTTGATCACAAATTGTTTTGTGGTCGGATTCTGACAACAGAATCCGTCAGAATCCTCCTGTCATTCCGTCAGAATTCCCCAGCTCAAAAGAAGTTCGATAGTGGATAGTATCTAGAACTGAAATGTCATTTTCTATAGTACATTACAACAACTTTCAGACATCTTGTTTTTCATAATGTTCTAGTTATCTATAATTCCATAATTATTCAAGTCCTGACTTCAAAAACCCTATTCAAATCTAGGCTGTTTCCTCCAACTGTACCCGTATGGCGACAACGAGTTACGGTCTTCAAGATGCGTTCAACTATTTCCTCAGCATCATTTGCAAGTATTATTATTTTCATTTTACTGTACAAAATTGAAATTTCAGCAAAGATCCAGTGTGCAAATGAGCCTCAACAATGTTTTCATAACAAATTTTTCAATAAATTTTTATTCTGCTGTAGCTAACCCTTAACTTAACACTTAACACAACACGACTTAACATAACACTAACACAACACAACACTAAACTAACAAACACGAACACTGACACGTAACATAACATAACATTTAACACGTAACACAACACGAACACTAACTGAACACAACAAACAGAACACTAACATTTAACATTTAACACGTAACATTTAACACGTAACACTAACACGTAACACTAACACGTAACCAACACAACAGTAACCACATGTGACAACACAACACTAACAGTAACACTACCAACATTAACATTAACACGAACTTACCGTAACCAACCGAACACTAACGTAACACTAACCAACGTAACACAACTTAACAACACGTAACATAACACGTAACATAACACGTAACACCCTAACAGAACCAACGGACCTTAACACTTAACACTAACTGTACACTAACACTTAACATTTAACATTTAACACGTAACATTTAACACGTAACACTTAACACGTAACACTTAACACGTAACACTTAACACGTAACACTTAACACGTAACACTTAACATTTAACACTTAACACTTAACACGTAACACTTAACACGTAACACTTAACCCCCAAACCAAAATTCAATTCAAAAATCATTCCTGCAAAACGGAATCATTTTTTTCGTTACTAAACAAAATGTTAAAGGGAAAATATTTTCTTGATCACTTCCGGTTGAAGTATTCTGGAGTCAAAATGGAAAGAACTATTCACTGATTAGAGTTGGAGAAAAGGAATCTTCTTTTAAAACGAACTACACAATTTTTTTTTGGCTATTTTAGGCTGGGTTGGAGATAGTGAGATGTCAGGGAAAAATGACGAATGGGTATTGGGCAATAAAATAACTAGAGACTGAAGAATGGACATCTGGAATCAATTCGCAATAACTATACAATTTTAGCTTATAAAACTTCAATGATGATACTGATAGAGTAAAGAAAAGTGAAGCTGAATTTTTAAAGAAGGTCTTTGGTGTTTTTTTTCACTCAAAACTTTCTCAATCAGTTTATTTCATCTATCATATGCTTTTTAATGATCAAAATATCAATATGAGATTTCGATACATAAAGAATACGATTGATTCTCGACTTTGCATAAAAGCACAGCAACAACAACAGCAGACTTTGCATTAAAGCACAGCAGCAGCAACAGCAGACTTTGCATAAAAGCACTGCAGCAACACTGCCACCATTTCTTTTGAGGAAAAAGATTAGAAAAAATGTTGATGATGTTAGGTAAATGACAAAGCATTAAAATGAATTTGAGCAGGGAAAAAAGGTTCGAAATTGAAGAATGAACGTCTCCAATCAATTCGCAATAGCTATACAATTTTAGCTTATAAAGCTTTATTGGTGACATTGATAGAGTCAAGAAAAGTGAAGCTGAACCTTTAAAGAAGATCTTTGGTGTTTTTTCACTCAAAACTTTCTTAATCAGTTTATTCCATCTATCATATGCTAATTTTTAATAATCAAAATATCAATTTGAGATTCATGACTCAATGCACAGAATACAATGATTTAAACTTTGCACAAAAGCACAGCAGCAACAACACTGCCACCATTTCTTTGAAGAAGATTGAAGAATAGGAGCCGTGTTGTTGATGATGTTAGGTAAATGACAAATAAAAAAGTACAATTAAAGCAAATAAAGCTAGAATACCTGAGTAAATTCAAATACAAAACGATAAAGACAAAGATGAGTCATAAAAGTTGCAACTTCAAGAACATTTTTACACAAAATAATGCAAGGAAAATAGAAATGCAACGCTAGAAATGCAACGCTAGAAATGCAAAGCTAGAAAAGGAAACAAAAGAAATTCTATTTGGAAAGTCAAATCTACGCATGGATAAGTAACAAAATCAGCTTTCAATGTTTAAAACTGTTAATAGCTTGATTGAAACAAGCTTGATTTTTCGATTCTAAACAATTTGATCAACTATGGACTCAATTTGATCCTTTAACTCTATCAATAAGAGAACTTCTGCAAAACATAATCCATCTAGAATATAAGCTGTATTTTACGTCTACTATGGTTGTCTCCATTATTCTACATTATTGCTAGATGTCTTGTTTCTTTTTTTTTGGTACCCGACGTGGCTGCGTGCTTCTTTTATCAATAGCCTTTTTCTTCTGTGAGACCATTTCGAAGAGGTTTTCGTCCAACGTCTAAATTCTCCAGGAATTGTTCAGTTTAATCATAAAGTTGAACACGCTGGTCCTTTTATGGGTTGGAACTGGGAATACAAAACATTGTCGACGCCGGGATTCGAACCCGTGACCTCTCACGTACCAATGAGCTCTGCCAAACAGCTACACCGACACGTATTCCATTGTCACCAGCGCCTTATGCCTTACTATCAGCCTGCAAGGCCATTATATCCAAAAGTCTGAAAGCTAAGGTTCTTTGAAAGACTTACTGTGAACATTTGGTTCAGCAGTGATTCCAGGGCTTTCGGGAGTCTATTCAATTCGCAAAATTGTGTCAGTGATTTAGATACCTCAAAGACTGTCATCAGAGCATTTCTGTAAAGATTTAAAGGTTTAATTCCCGAGATTTAACACCTTTTGAGAAAGTTTGAACTTGTAAGCGATAAAAAAAAACTAACGTTGTTGCCACCTCGTACTCGCGGCATTTCACACGATTTTTTCCAACAGCTATTCTATTTCTCTCGACTTTAGTCCCTTCGTACTTAGGGGGACGACCGGGTTGTCTTGGTGTCCCCTTGACTTTCTTTGTTATCCCTAAAGCTTTAAAAAATTAATCATATTTTCAGAATGATTCAAAATGAGTCAAAAGATTTAGTCATCACTTACCACGACTCTTTTCCGGCCATCTATTTCCATTAGATTTTGTCGTTGAAGATGAACTAATTGAGTGATGGCTGGATGTGGTTGAAGGCGCTCGGCAATTGTCTGTAAAATTTTGGTTTTGTCAGCAATGCAATCAATGTCAGCTTTCAAAAGCATAGGATCCTGCTTGAGCTTTCAAAGTTTAACTATCTTTAGTCAATCTTATCTTTATCTATCTTAACTATCATAGTCTGAACCTGGTTCATTTATTGGTTAATCCTATTGCTTCAGCTCATTCTAGTCTAGAAATTCTTGATTAAATGAGAAAAATCACAGAAAAACACACAATAGACATCATCAGATGGCGAAGATTGTCCGGTCGAATTGCTCGCGTTACTCATCGGAAAGTTCGGTTGAAAATCGTTTGATGGGAATCGTTGACGAGACGAATACGACGGTAGAATCACTTCGAATTGATTCTGACTAAAATTTGAAAGATTATTGAAAAAAAATCGATTTTAGTTTTGCAATCAAAAGTCCAACAAATAGTCTTGCATTTTCATGGGGGTCCGCATTCTCTTGGGCAAGTTTTTTGAGAGGAGAAAAGGTGAGCGAAAAGAGAACACAGCACTTTCCAAAAATTTAAGGCAGAACTTTTTAAACTGATAAAATCATTATTTTTTACCGAAATCTTCAGTTTTCTATTTAGATTTTATACCTAAAAAACCTACTTTGATGGCGGAGACTGATCGAATTGCATCACTTGATTGAATTGTTGTTGGCGTTGTTGCTGACGTTGTTGCTGATGTTGTTGTTGTTGTTGTTGAGGTTGTTGTTGACGTTGTTGTTGAGGTTGTTGTTGGCGGTTGTTGTTGTTGTTGTTGAGGTTGTTGTTGAGGTTGTTGTTGGCGTTGTTGTTGAGGTTGTTGTTGAGGTTGCTGTTGAGGTTGTTGTTGAGGTTGTTGTTGGCGTTGTTGTTGAGGTTGTTGTTGGCGTTGTTGTTGTTGTTGTTGTTGAGGTTGTTGTTGAGGTTGTTGTTGAGGTTGTTGTTGAGGTTGTTGTTGGCGTTGTTGTTGAGGTTGTTGTTGGCATTGTTGTTGGCGTTGTTGCTGATGTTGTTGTTGATGTTGTTGATGTTGATCTTCTTGTTGATGAATAATTTGTTGATATCCATTTCCTTGACGATAATCCGGAGGAGTTGCTTGAGTTGGATAGTTATTTGCATATGCTAAAGCTTATCGTAAATAAAAGTATTGCTTCTTTTGTTATGGAGTGAGTTTGTGCTCAGCAATTCTTTAAACTCTTCCCATTAGATTCCCATTAGTTCAGACTAGCTGATTGTTAGACAACACCTGTTCGCTGTTGATATGATTGTTGATGCTGTCGACTGTGGTTTCCTTGACGATTTTGATCTCTCTGAGAAGCTTGATACATTCCATAGGCTGAGCCTGACTGTGAGAAGGGATCACGATTGGAATTGCTCATTCTAAAGCAATAAATTAAGTCTTACTAGGTTTTACAACTAGTTAGGGCACGAGTAAAATATTTTGAAGAGGAAATTGGTTATTGGAAGCAAGTAGACGGCATTACTATAACTGATATGCGCATTGGCACTTCAAATGATTACAGTAAGAGAAAATCAGAAAGGATGTAATCAGTAAAATTCAAGATAAGGCGTCTCTCGCAATATTATTCTTCTAATTCAATGTTTATGTAAATTTGGTTAGGTGCAAAGTTTAAATACCGTACTCCAGAATAGGGTCTTTTTCAAGTCAGATCAAGAATCGATCTAGCGCTGAACTAGAGAAAGATTCAACACGATCTATCTCTAGAACAAGGATTAGCAACTAGTGTCTAGGGAACAAATATTATCAATATTATCTGTATAATTATTAAATCGACTAGTCTTTGTATATGTTGTGTCCGATTTAGATTTCCGTCCGATTTAGATTCAATCTAAATCGGACGTCCGATTTAGACTGTAATCTAAATAGGACGTCCGCAATAAGTTCAATCTAAATCGGACGGAAATCTAAATCGGACAGCGAAGACTTCTTTAAAACTAGACTTCAGCATTTTCCCAAAACTCACTGTCTCTGATCGGGTGATCCATTTATCGATTGGGCTTCTAGATGGTGCTCATTTGATTGGACCACGTTGAGCATTTGATTGAAACTGAAATTTGAAATTGACACTTCTATCGACTTCACGTTTTCTTTAGCAATTTTTTCAAATATTACGATAAATTTTAAGCTGTATTTGGCGCCAAAGCGTCGACATCTTATCAGCGCCAAATGGTCGCCGAATTTTTCCAGCGTTTCTCTGATTTGAAACAAATTTTCTCCCAACTACCGGAAGCAATTCTTTCTTTGATCTTTGAACCTATTTTTATTTCTTTTACGGCTTTGGAAATCAGAGTTAGATCATTGATTCTTGAAACCAGGAGATTTGCTCGATTAAAGCTGATTCATAATCTCTCCCAGTTTTTTGATAAAAATTATTTGAACAGAATTTTGTGTGTTTTTGATTTGATTCTCTTTCTAAATATTCTTGAAAGTTTTAAAATTTACCTCGGAAAATCTGTAAACGCGTTCCTTTCTTCTTCTACAGAGCTTGGGATTTCAATGAGGAGTTGGTGATATGAGAATTCGTCTGGCTAAAGAAATTGATTGACTGAGTAGGGTAATGAGTAGTAAACTATCAGCTATCACAGAACTTTTAGCAAGACTAACTGAGGCTGATTGGTCTTGGGAAGACTAATTGAGGCTGATTGATCTTGTCTAACGTTTAACATTGTTCTTTAGATTAATATTTATATATCTTATTCTAATCTGTATGAAAAGTAGACGTTAAATTCAGTAAATTAGCAACAATTATGCAGAGAAAGCAAAAATCTACGATAATTTTTCGGTCAACCAAGCTTTATCGTCTTCTATTACTCTTTGTCAGAAGATACGCAGTAAATCAGTGACCGTTATGTATATTCTAGAGTATTTTATGGTACTTCAAGGGTAAGCAATCGTTCTAATGCTTCTCCCTAACACCAATCCAAAGTCTTACCTGGAAAGCCGCTTGCTCTCCAAGATTCTCAAAGCGTTGATTGTTGTTATTCGGTGGAGAAGTCATCAACTGAAATCTGTAAGGAACAAATAGTTTGAATTTGTAAGTGATTACTGAAAATAGACCCACGTGGGGCTAAGAATAGAATGGAAGAGAGCAATAAAAGCTGATATGAAAACAGAAACAAAAAACTCTGTTTATATATGCTGTGGGGTTTGGTGAAATCATTTGGCAATAGCGGGGATTGATAGAACTGATTGTGAATACAAAAAGTCATTTCGTCATTAAGTGATATTTGATATTTTTGCCTTCCGAAATACCTATAAAACTTGACCGGAAATTCTAATTATGAGTCGCTTTTGTTTGTTTATTTTGGTGACAAGAGTCTTAGAGAACATGAGAGGAGCTAGATAAGTGCCGTTTTCGAATTCCAAAAGCTCCAATTCCTTGTCAACTTTCTACCATAATCTTGTTTCTAGTCTATCTAATTTATCTTACTTTTGGTTTCTTTTAATAAAACAAACCAAAAATAAGATACAGTACTGGACAATGAAATATGATATTTGAAAAATACGATCATCACTTTCGCGCATCTGTAACTCCTTTGTCTTTGAGTTTAAATTATTAGTGTTATACATTTTCTGAAAGCTCTTTTCAAGGGCTACACAATGGTAATATTAATATTTACAAATACGGTAAAGACAAGGGAGTTACAGACGCAATGTAAAGCTTGATTTAGCTCACAAAACGATCGTCACTTTCGCGCGTCTGTAACTCCCTTGTCTTTACCGTATTTCTAAATATTAATATTACCATTGTGTAGCCATTGAAAAGAGCTTTCAGAAAATGTATAACACTAATAGTTTAAACTCAAAAACAAGGGAGTTACAGACGCGCGAAAGTGACGATCGTTTTTTCAAATATCATATTTCATTGTCCAGTACTGTATCTTATTTTTATTTTGTTTTATTAAAAGAAACCAAAAGTGGTTTAAATTAGAAGAAGAGCATAGAAAAAAGTGAAAAATTTTGAGCAAAAGGGAAAAATTGTCAACGCTCCTAGAGGCTTTTATACAGATATTTCCGAGAATTCTGATAAGAATTTTGTGAAAGCATGTGATTTTTAGAAGAATCGACCTTGTGATCACGATATCTATCAAAGAATAAATGATTAAAACGTGGAAAACACATTTCGAAGAAAATGAAGCAACTTTATTCTTATCAACCTTCAAAAAATCGTGTCTTTACGTCAGCCGATGCTGAACATTTGGTTCTTGGGTACAATAGGCCCCAGACAGAGGGTCTCTCTAGGCTGACGGAGACCCCCCTCTAGCGGAGTTCCCTCCCACGGGTTGGCCCCGGCCGGGAAAAAAGAAGCCACTTCATCTATCTCCCTCCCCCCCCCCACACCCGAGAAAAAATCTCATCTTTCTCGATATATGTGGGTGTGTGCGATTGCGCTTATCATGCCTGAATAAAGACAAATCAATATCAATAGTGGGTCAATCTTTGGGTACAATAGTGATCACGATGGAATAGATTTTAATGGGGGCATTTAAGCCCATTTAAAATAGATTGGAATAGATTTTAAATAGAATCTAGAAATCTAGATCTAATAAAGTACAATTTCTCTTGTATGTGTAAGAAAATAGAGAAAATTTGTGTCAAAGTTCCGTTACGAGTCTCGGAGCTTGGGAACTTTTCTATTTCACTCTATAGCTCGACTCCCAGTAATCAGAACGACTTGAGGTTGGTTTTAAAATGATCCTCATTAAAAGCTATCCTAATTTTGGCTTCAGCTTTTGTTTTTTTTCAACTTTAATCCACACAAAAATGAAATTTGAAGGAAAGATCGCTTTTTTTGCTGTAGATTATTGTAGTTAACTTTTAGAAAGATCTTTCTAAAACTTTTCTTCTTGATCTATCAAGCGAAAGTGCTTATACCAAGTTGAAAACAAAGACTGAACTCATCTGGCTAACTAGAGTTCTATAAATCTATAGAGTCTTCCTTTCCTTTTTTGAGATGAGTCATTGAAGTTACGCATTTCAATCTCTTTCCGGTTAAAAAAACGAAAACTTTTAGAAAACATTTGCAAAAAACTACCATTTTTGACAATTATTCACTGATAAGCGAGTTTGAGTCACGGGCTTGAGTAATCTAGAAAGGTTTACGGTAGTCCAAACGATCGTGGGAAAGACTTGTCATCTTTTTTGGCATGCTTTAGCAATCTAGAAAGGTTTACGGTAGTCCAAACGATCGTGGGAAAGACTTGTCACCTTTTTTGGCATGCTTTAGCAATCTTTACTAACAAACAAATGGTATTTTGAACGAACCATTGAGTCTAATCGCTAAAGTCTAATTTCTCGAATCTCTCCAGTCTTGTCTCTTCAATCTCTAAAAACTATCGTCACAAACTGGTGAACGAGCTAGGATTTCGCACTTTGTGTACACGCTTAAACTTTAGCTTTCTAGCACAAAAAAAATTGGGTAATTAAACCAGTACGAATGCTTTCTGGCCACCCTTACCCATGGTTGTGTGCCAGACGCTGCTTTTTTCTACGAGCGACGTCCAAAGTACACAAAAGCTTCGGTAATTAAACCAGTCCCGAAAGCAATACTTTTAAGGTTTAACTCTTACTAGGAAACGGTCAGATTTCGCAAGCGCGAATCCGAGCGAAAGTATATCACTTACGCAAGTCGGACACGGGCTCACGGGTCCAAACGTTCTAGATTTCTGTAAAAACGCATTTGAAATTTGACCCCCTAGTGCACTGAGGGACTGATGAGTTTGTAAGGGCTACCGTCGGTACGAAAGAGGTGAGTCGGTGGCGCAGTGATAGTACTGTTGCCTCCCATTTTTCGCATCCGATTTCGATCCTCCTTGGATCTATTTTTTGCATTTTTATTTTAATCTTTTGAGTATCTTTAGCTTCGATTGCATTCTTTTGCAAAAAAAAAGACTTTTTCTATTTCTCTTGTGACAATACTCTACGAAAGATCAGGAAAGCACACTTATGTGGAAAGTGCAAGAGATAGTACAATACTCTACGAAAGATCAGGAAAGTGCAAGAGATCGAACTTTTCTGAAAAGTCATAAAATTGTTTTGATTGCATTCTTTTGCAGAATTTTGTTCTAAAAAAAAGGAAAGAAACTCCTGTTAGATTGGTAATCATGGAAACTTTACCTCAAAAGCCAGAAACCAAAACAACTTTGTAAACTTGCAAAGGCACAAACAATTTTGCAACTTTTCAAAAGTTGCAAAGTTCGATCTCTTTCAATTTCCTGATCTTTCGTAGAGTATTGTCACAAGAGAAATAGAAAAAGTCTTTTTTTTTGCAAAAGAATGCAACCGAAGCTAAAGATACTCAAAAGATTAAAATAAAAATGCGAAAAATAGATCGAAATCGAATGCGAAAAATGGGAGGCAACGGTACTATTACTGCGCCACCGATCCACTTCTTTCGTACCGACGGTAGCCCTTGCAAACTCATCAGTCCCTCAGTGCACTAGGGAGTCAAATTTCAAATGCGCTTTTACAGGAATCTAGAACGTCTGAGCAAAAACTAAAAACACCATCGTGTTGCCCGTGTCCGATTTGCGTAAGTCATATAGCTTTGGCTCGGATTCGCACTTACGAAATCTGATCGTTCCTTAGTTAATCTGATCTGATCGTTCCTTAGATAAACTTGTTAACGAGTCTTAAAGAAAGGATGAACAATGAGAAACACTTAAGAGTTTAAAATGGCCGGATGAGATTCTGTAGAAGAAAACGAATTCCCTAAAATCGAAAGATTCGAAAGCTTTATACCAAAGTAATCAGCTTTCAATTTCACTAATTCTCTCGAAACTCATGAAAATGGTCAATTCGCTGAAGGATTTCGCTGAAGGTTTATCCAAATTTTTCGCTTAACTTTGGTTTTCGCAATGTTGACACAATGTTGACGCAATGTTGGCAGCCTACAATTCTGAACGTTTTTCGGAGTTCTTTAGTAGCTTTTCTTTTCTTTCTTTTCTTTCTTTTCTTTCTTTTCTTTTCTTATCAGTCACATGTGCATATGCGCAGTCCAAAGTCAATGTTTGAATAAAGCAAAGAAGATTTTACGGTTCATGTCCAGGACATTTCACGTCTTTGTTGACGCTGAGACGCTATTTTTGAGATTTTAGCACTGGGGAACAGTGCAGAATGGAATGCAAAGTTTTTCAAAGATCACCAAAAACTTCAATGTTATGGAATACGAAAATTTTATTTTCCATTGATTCATTACAAAATCTTGCAGGAATTTCCCAAACCCAAAGTTCCTAAATTCGGCAATCAACAACTCCCAAAGTATTTCCTCGTTTTCCCAAAATCTCCAATCATTAAATGATTTGACCTTCACTCAAATCGCCCCCGCCGTTAGCTGAGCCGAGCAAATCACCCCGAAAAAAAGCGAAAAAGCAAAAAAGCCAAAAATGAAGTCCCGACCTTGGATTTATCTGAAAAATGCCAAGGAACTCGCGGACTTTTTAACCTAAAGCCATTTCCCCTTGGAACTCCTAAAAAAGAAAAATGGGTGGAAAAGTTTCGGAAAGATTTCTCATTTATCTGTTTCTCAATTTTTTTTCGGGAACTGTTAGTATAAAAGGCTGAAGAGTGAGAGATTTCTTGCCCCAAAACAAAAATGGACCCCAAAGCGCGGTTACAAGTTCTGAGATGCGTCGCCTATTCGACGGTTGCTTTTGCCACCGTAAGTTTTTTCATTTTGAAAGCTTATAGCTTATTTTACAAACTAGGTAGTGTAGCTGTAGCACAGAAATTTGTTTACTTTTTAGAGAGTCTTGTACAAGAGTAACTGCTCATTAGTAACTGCTCCAGCTATCTCACTAGCTGCTCATTAGTTAGCTCCAGCTAACTCATTAACTGCTCATTAGTTAGCATTAGTTAGCTGAATCTTACATTCTGACTTCTAGATGGCTGTTCTCACCGTCTCACTCACCGTCCCGATGATGTACTCGTACGTCGATCAAATCAAAACTCAAATGGAGATCGAGATGGAGTCTTGTCTTGAGGCTAAAGAGGAGATCTGGAGTGGAGTGAGTCAAAGATTTTTGTAGAAAACAAAAGCATTGTTATTAGGGCTAGTAAGCTTTCGCAAAACCTGCAAATCCCACAATGGTAATCAAAAGCTTTCAGGTGAACGAGCTTCGCGCCATTCAACGCCACAACCGTACCGCTCGTCAGGCTGACTACCGTGACACGGATATGTTCAACTTGGCCTCTCCCGCACCAGCACCAACACGTCACCAAGGAACCACCGGCTATGGAGGAAACCGTGGTGGATGGGGAGGAAACAGACAACCAGCTCGTCAACCGCAACACGCCGCTCCACAAGGATACGGACGTGGACAGGCCAATCAACGACCAACTGGAAACGTTGGCGGATACCAGAGAAACGGCTTCAATCAAGGTGGAAACAGCTACCGTCAACCAGCTGGAGGAAACAATGGTGGAAACAATGGTGGATACAATCGTCAACACGCTGAGGGAGATTGTTCAGCGTGCTGCAGTGGAGGACAAGCCGGACCACCAGGACCAGCAGGAAGACCCGGACGTCCAGGAAATATGGGAGCCCCAGGAAACCCCGGAAGCCAAGGTACCCAGGCCTTTTCTATATATTAATACTGTATTTTCAGGTCGCCCACCAGTGCATCAAGCTTGCGAACAGGCCACCCCTGCCCCATGCCGACCATGCCCACGTGGACCACCCGGACCCCCAGGACCACCAGGTAAACATAAAGCCATGTTTAGCTATTTATGTAGACTTTAAAAGTGATTTTTATTATGAATCCAAATTCAGGACCTGCTGGAGACGATGGACACCCAGGAACTGCTGGAGGACCCGGACAGCCCGGAGGCCCTGGCCAACCTGGACCCCGAGGAGCACCTGGTAAATGCGAAAGAAGAAAATGAGTTGAAAACGAATTTAGGACCCGCTGGACATCCTGGAAACGATGGAGCGCCCGGAAACGCTGGAGCCCCAGCTTACGGAGGATCGTCTTCTCAAGGAGCACCCGGACCTGCCGGACCTGCTGGACCCCCTGGACCAGCCGGATCTCCTGGACAACGAGGAGGAAATGGACATCCTGGACCAGCTGGACCAAAGGGACCCAATGGACACCCTGGTGAGTGCAGTGAAATGAAGAACTTAAGACAATTACCGTACCCTTTCTTTGGCAGACTAGAGTAATCTTTGTCCACTTTGTCTTTTACCAAATCACATGTCTGCAATAGTTTGATTTAGTTTTCACTTTTAACTTTAAATTTTCAGGAGCCCCTGGACAAGACGGTCATCCCGGAACAAAGGGAACCAACGGAAAGGGTGGAAACGGAGGAGAAAAGGGAATCTGCCCCAAATATTGCGCCATCGATGGTGGTGTCTTCTTCGAGGACGGAACTCGCCGTTAAATTCGATGCACTTTATTCAATTAAAAATAAATTCTTATACCGGAATGTGAAAACAACATTTTACAATACAACAACAAAGAATCAAAATTAAACAAAAATGGGAAATGTAAAAATAGAATCATAAATTTCTCTCCAACGTCGTCAACTTTTTCTCGATGTCATCTAAAAAAAGAATGTCTTGAAAGCATTCAGTACTTGTGACTCTTATCCATGGAAATTTTCAAATTCATTACATTGAAGCCACTTTTACAATTTGTTGATGTCTTCAAAAAGTGAGTGGTCAAGAATCCAATTCATACACTTATGTCGAAAGCTTATCGATAATATATAAAACCAACTAACCATTCATCTTATCGATCCAATTGAGCATATCGAGATGTTTGTAGAGAATCAAAGCCAGCGCTTTCTCGTCTTCTTTTTGCCCACCTTGCATTTGTAGAGCGAGTGACGATACCTGAACACAGATTATAAGAAACTGAATGCACAGAAATTTTTCCCAAATCTTAAAATCAACTTAATCTTAAGCTTTTGATCGTCAATAAAAATCGCATTCGCTAATATCTGAAAATAGAACTAAGACTGCACACTCACATCACGTTGAGCGTTGTTTGCTTCATATGTCGTATTCTTCAATGTGGCATCCAAAGACAGCAAAAGCTGCAATCTAAAAGTAATAAATAAAATTAAAACCCTTGAAAGCAAACTAGTTAAACGCTTGAAGTAAGTTTTCAATTGCTAGTCTAAAATCTCACATTAGACGTCGTTTCTCATCCGCGGCCGTTCGAATATTTGTTTCACCAAAAGCTCCTTTCCCACTCCAATCGCCCGTCCAAGCTGGTAACCGGAGTTGTTTCTCCATCGAGTTGAGTCCATCTTCAAGATCTAAAACGAATAGATGAAATCACTAGGGCTTGGTATTGTTTTACTTAAACATGATACCATAACATCATCCAGGTTTTAAATAGAAACTAAAAAGTTCCAACTAATCATTATTTTAATACTTTAACCACAAATAACGAACTTGATAGTTGATCGTTCACAAAGGCTATTCCGTAATCCAAATTTGTTGCGCGTTTGTCGAAAGCCTCAAAACGATCCTTCCCCTCCCTCAATCTAAAATTGCAAATCAGAACCAAATTCATAACAAAAAAAAAAAGTTATTTTCTACATTACAAAAACTTAAATCGTTTATAAAGAATACGTAATCGCTTAAAATTTCGCAAGATAAAACGCACTTGTCCGAATTCGATCGAATGACTGTATCCAACGAGTTCACATCGCGAACCATTTCCCGGAACGCGATACCATGTCGTTCCGTATGTCGAATCAACTAAAGTGAAATATTGACAGAATTAGAAATCAATCTTATCATCTTCTCCATGTTTTATACCAAAGCTTAAAAGTTTTACTGGTCGTCTATCATGCATAACATCTAAGCCACATATTTTAAGGTTCACAAGCCTAGAAAATAAATGTTTAGAATAAAAAAACAAACCTTGTGTATTTGACCTTCAAGGCTGTTCATGTCGGCGATCTTGCCAGGCTCCGCCGTCGATTCACCCGGCATTCTAAACATAAAAGTATAGTTGTCTCGAAAACCAACAAATAGGTCAAGAATCTAGCTGCACCAATAGTTTAGCTTCTTAAAAACAAAATACAGTTCTTTTCATTAGATGCGCTAATTTTGAAAAACTACTGTCAAAAATAAGATAAACTTTGAAAATTTCGAAATGAGCAAATGAATATTTGTCAAGGGTTGCCCACAAAGTTGAAAGTATTGAGTTATTGAACTGAATCTTGATTTTAACATAATTTCAAAATTTCAAACTTAAATTTTGCGTACATGCATTTTGCAAATTCGATTTTGATAATGTTTTTACATGTAAGCTAACACTAATCTCGTAAACTAGACAAAACCAACCCCGTAGCAACAGGAGCCGGAGCAGTCAAGCTCATCCCCAATCCTGTGGAAGCTGTAGAAGCTGGAGTGGCGTTGAGTGAGAACAGTGATTGAGCGGATGTCTTCGGCAAACTTGCTGTAGTTAGACCTAATCCAGAACCGGATGTTGCAGCTGCACCAGGTGTGCTTGGGAATAGAGATGCTGCACTCGAAGTAGCAGTGGTGCTCGGAAACAATGGTGCTGCAGTGGTCGGAGCAGCTGATGCAGCACCCGAGAACAAGGCTGCAGTAGTTGGAGCCGGTGCAGCTGAGAAGAGAGTTCCAGCGGCACTGGTTGTCGTGGCCAAGCTAGTCAGAGTTCCCAATGAGATCGGATTCGTTGCTGTTGTAGTTGGCGCTGTTGTACCAGAAGTAGCAGCTCCAGCTCCAAATGGTGTGAGATTTGAGATTGGTGCTGCAGAAGGAATCGTTGCGCCAAAGCTCGGATTTGTAGTGGTTCCAGTACCAAATGCAGGCGCTGTTGAAGCTGTAGACGTCGCAGATCCAAAACTCGGAATTGCAGCAGCGGTTCCAGTTCCAAATGTTGGATTTGTGGCAAGAGCAGCTCCAAAAGCAGGTGTTACTGCTGAAGGGTTTGCGGTCGGAGCTCCAAAAGTTGGGGCGGGCGCTGTTCCAAACAACGATGTGGTCGAGGTGGCCGTGGGTTGATTGACAGTCTGAAATGTGTTGCTTATTGTTAAGTTATCAATAAATCATTCTATGCAGTAACAATACGTTTACCTAGAGTTTAGATATAAGCTCATTGTTATTCACCGTTGCTCCAAATAAATTCGTGTTTGCAGTAGGTGCGCCGAATGAGATCGATGCGCTCGTGGATGGGGGTAGGAATGGTGTTCCTCCAGCAGTTCCACCGGCTCCTCCCGTAGTACCAAACATTTCTGAAAGTCAAAATAAAGTAGGTGAAGTTAAGAAAAAGCATAAAATAGAAATCAAGTAACGTATTACGGTTCCAAATATCCAAACTCTGGGTCGAAATCTTACCCAAAATGCTAAATCTTTTAACCCAAAAACACTAATTCCAAATAATTGGTCAAAACGAGAGGAATAACAAGACGATTCGGGGTCGGGATTGAGTGGCGTTTATAGAAGAAAAGATATGAAAGACACGGGTTGGAAGACTAACAAAGTGGAAAGACCAGGAAAAGTCCAGAAACTCTAAAACTTTAACAATAAAAACAAAGAAACGGGGGAAGGAGCGGTGGAAACAATAAAAGAATTAAAGAAATTTTAACAATAAACAAAATTTTATAAGTGAATAGAGAAAGGGGAACGTACACGCGCAAAAGACACGGCGAAGCGCCGGACCAGGTAAAGATCCTTCAACAGAATGAATTTTGCAGGGATGGGACTTATAGGGTAAAAGGGAGACACCGTCTCGAGTACGGTAGCTTAGGTGTATTTTAGAATTTAGGGTTGGAACGTTGCCAACCCGTACTTGAACTGCGGGAATTGGGGTTTTACTATCAGGGTATTCGTGGTTACAGCAAAAATAAATTTGCATTAAAGTTATAGGGCTGGAAAGGCTTAAATACTTTTAATCGATGAATAGAGACAAAAAACGGTAAGCAATCAGCTTATAAAAGAATATAATATAAATCTAACATCCTACTCAATTCCTTTTCATATCGTTTTCTCTCAAAACGCTAAAAATTCGAAAGTTTTCCCACCCTATAATGCGCATGGGGAGTGCCGCGTTGCGGTCATATGCATCAGCTGATTTACTTGTCGAAACGCAATCTTAATCACGTTGTTTGCAAAGGTTCAAACCTCTCACAAAGAACCCTTCATTCAATTGGTAAACAAAGATATTTTTTTGATGTTTTAGAACTTTTTCCATAACAATTTAGCATTTTTTTCAAAATTGAAGCTTTAAATCGGAATATCTAAATTTACCATCTAATCTAATATCTAATATCTAATCTAATATCCCATAAAGCTTTCAAAAAAAGCTTCTAGATATTGTTTTTTGATTTCATTTTCCCAAATTCTTGAATAATTTTTACAATCCAGTCTATAAACAACTAAATAATTGGCCCTGTAATTGACCATTTCTACTTATCTGCTGTACTTATCTCTGTACTATTTCTGCTGTACTATTTCTACTTATCTCTCCAAAAACAAAAATTTCTCTTATTTCATAATCGATCAATTTTATGCTTTTTGAATCTCGTAAATACTTGGCTCAATGAAAAAAAACTATTTTTTAATTGGACAATTTTTGAAACCGTTTCCCGCGAGAAAATTTCTTGCGCAACAGAATTTTATTGTTTTTGGGCATGATAAATTTTCCATTGCAATTTATTAATGTTGAGAAATTTAGTGTCAACTCTGATGGATTTTATAAAGGCCAACTTTGGGATACCACAACGGATACACCAAGCATGGTAAGTGCGATTTATTTAAGTGCCAGGGATGCTGTAGTTTGTGAATAGAATTTAGATACGGTAAAGTTCCAGTATTATATTTGCTACAGCTAATAAATTGAATTTAATTGACAATTGGAAAGATATTCAGGGTTTTTAGCACAATATGAAGGGTGTAATGAGAAAAAGATGGATACTTTACCGTATCTTTAAATCTCAAGATATTTAGCTAATATTTTTTAAATACTGTAAGCTATATCAATCAAACGGACAAAGCTTTCGAAAATTTATTCACTATTCAGGTGTCGCTACGTCATCCATCGCTACTTAGGCCACTTGTTGGAGATGAAGCTTACATTGGACCAATTGTCGATGAAATTGGGTGAAGGAGAGATCAATATTTCGGACCTCAAACTGAACACAGAAGTAAGATGGAAGGGAAAGATTCGTTTACGCAAAAAAAAATGATTCAGTTTATCAACTCAACCCTGGAAACACTCGATTTGCCGATTCGATTGATTGAGGGATACATTGGGAGTGTTAGCCTTAAAGTGAGCAATTGAAAAATGAAACTTTTGACATGTTACGAATTCATTCTTCTGACAGAAATCTTAGAAACTGATCAAATTTCCAGGTTCCCTGGTCTTCGGTGACCATAGATTCAACAGAGGCACGAGTCGATCAGTTACAGCTAACATTTCAAGCACTAGAGCGCTTCAATGTCGATGACACGGATGGAGGTAAGCAAAACTGAATACTTAAGAAAGCGAATTTATCTGAATACTTGAAAGAAAGGCTTATCTTTTCAGTCTCTTCAATGCTCGGCAGTGTCGTTGACTCACTCGTCTCATCCGCTGAATTAGCCCAAGAATTTTGCAAGGTAACACTGAAAGAATTGATTTTGACTTAAAGGTTAAAGACTACATTAATACCGTATTTACTCGAATAGAAGACCGGTCTTCTATTTTTTCGATCATCCCCTAGACCCCGTCTTCTATTTTTTCGATCATCCCCTAGACCCCGTCTTCTATTTTTTCGATCATCCCCTAGACCCCGTCTTCTATTTTTTCGATCATCCCCTAGACCCGCTTCTATTTTTCCACATCCCCAGACCCCGTCTTCTATTTTTCGATCATCCCCTAGACCCCGTCTTCTATTTTTTCCATCATCCCCTAGACCCCGTCTTCTATTTTTTCGATCATCCCCTAGACCCCGTCTTCTATTTTTTCCATCATCCCCTAGACCCCGTCTTCTATTCGAGACGGTCTTATAATCGAGGCCGGTCTTCTATTCGAGTAAAATACGGTAAATTGTAAATTTCAGAACGAAAACTTGAAGAACGATGATTTCAACGAAGATGGAATGAATAGTGGCACTGATGGAATCAAAGCTTTTTCACAGGTATAAGAATTCAAAATCAATTCTTTTTGAATACGATTTCAGAAAGTTTAAAATAAATTTCAGGTGATTGATGCAATCATTTCCCGATTCTTCGTCAGTTTCACGGACACAATCGTTCGAATCGAAAGACCACCAGAGAATGGATCCGCTTATTGTACAGGAATCGAAATGGAGATTAAAGAGTGAGTGTTGGTAAAGAAAGTGTTGAGATTTTTGAAACAAGTCTTACCCATTGAACAACGTAATTTCGGTATTCAATCACAATATACAGTGTTCAATATTTATGGGGGCCAGTAGATTACCAGGTTTAGAGCTCATTTTATTACAAATTTAATGCTAAAAAGGAAAAACACTTATTAATACGCCTAACGTCCACAACTCTAAGTTACTTTTTTCAAAATTATTGCCTTTTGTGCTGTTGCTTGCCTAGAAACATCTATGGAGAGTGGCTGTGGCAAGGAGGTCGGATAAATTGAGTTTGTCACAAACTCATGTTAAGCTTTCTTCAAAGAATCAAACTGAAATGTGAATCTAAAATTTCAAATGTCTCGTAGATTCGAAAACTATTAAATAGTGAAGACTTTCTCATCGTTAAACTCGTTAAACATTACGATTCTATTACGGTCCCAATACGGTTCCAATACGGTTCCTATTTTGATCTAATACGGTTCCAATACGGTTCGTTAAACATCGTTAAACGTCAAACAAGAACAACTGGAGTCTGACTCCTTTTTGTGAAATTTGGTGATCGAATTGTGATGAATCAATTTTTGGAATATCAAATTTAGTAAACTGTAAAAATAATCTAGAAAGTCGAGTTTTTTTTCAACTCCTATACAGTGCTTTTTTGTCGATTTTTTTCATAAACCAATTTTGAGTGCGCTAAACGATCTGTGAACTTAAAAGTCCCCATAAATTGAACACTCTATACAGGATCAAAGATTGAATATCTTCAGTTAGCTGATCTATCTTTGCAATCTTATAATTTTTTGTTTCAGAATGGCGTTTATGGACGATCAGATGAAAAACGTGAGAGAGGGATCGGGGACGACAAAAACGATCACCTCGCAGCCATTGAACGGCTGCTCGATCGCGAAATTGAACAAATATCTTTCTTTTAAAGGTTTGTTAGTTGGTTTAGCCGTCATACGGCACTTTCTTCGGTGGTTAAGTGGACAGTCTGCTAGACTACCGATCTTATTTCATTCTATGCCCTCGAGTTCGAGCCCCACTCTCGCCAAACTTTTTTGGCTTGACTGTTTTTGCTTTGTTTACTTTAAAAAGTGTTTCCTTACGTATTTGCAATGAATTATTTACTCTGTTTTGGTTTATCAAAGAACTAAACCAGTTTTGAATCATTTCAGGACTTTCCTTCTACACTGATGTCTTCTCTTCCGTTGGTGAAAATGTTGAATTGGGTGAAGAAGCGTCTTCAAGTCAATGCATGACAAGCATGTTTATCAGAAGAGAACTGCAGAAACAGGTGACCTAGAAATTGAAAGACAATATGTTTTCCAAATTTCAGAAAGACGAGCTCACCACATCAACGCAAGACCGAGAGACACTCTTCCAATCGACCACATCAGGGATGGGAGATTTTCAGGTACACTTGCACTTATGGCTTTAATTTCTAATTTTTAGTCTTGTTATTCAACTCTTCCCACAAATCAGCACGTTAATTTCTCAAGTTCAAACGGACTCAGTTCGACAACTGAAAGACTTCAATCGAATCCGATAAAATTCGCGGAATTCGCTGACAATGCTGCCATTACTATACAAATTGATAACCCAAGTTTGACGACAAAGGGACCAAATGATCGAAAAGTGAGTTATCTTTTAGCTTTTATTTAACTTTTATCTTTTATCCTTTCCAGTTCTCAATCGATGTAAAAACCGGAGGAGTAAACGTTTTCCTTTCCCCGTCTCAACTCGTCATTCTTCAAAAATTCTTCACAAACATTTCATTGGAGCCAAAAAAGTGGGATTCTTTTGGAGATTTTAAAAACTCGTTTTAGGAAAAAGAGTCAAAATATGGGTACACACATGAGCGATGAAACAGGCGAGGAAGTGCTGCAAATGCATATGATGGAGAATCAGAGATGTGGAGGGAATTTGCTTGGAGGTAAGGACTTTAAAATCAAGCCATCACTGATATAATTAATATTATTAGTTCAACAATACAATTGTTATCATTACATTTGTTTTCAGGTGATTATGGCGGTGGTGTGGACAATTTCCAAGCCTTTTCTGCGATTCCACTGGACGATTCGATTAAAATCCCCGAAAACTCGTCAAATCATATGAATTCACCAAGTTCGTGGAATTTTAATGAAATTCCATAGTTTTTCTTGTTGCTAAATCTTGGTGATTGATTAGATAACTGAAAAAAACTTTAGAAACGAGTAAAGCTGGAAGAACGGAGGGTGAGACGACATTCGTAGCCACAATTGGATACGCTAATATTTTCGTGACGCACGAAGATCCACTAGATAAAATACATCGGGATCATGGGGAGCAAATTGAACGACTCATGGAATGCAGCAATCAGTGAGTTGAGGCTTTTTAAACTTCATGAAAAAGCTTTTAGATTCTTCTCAAAAATGTCCTCTTTCAACACGGTGAATCAAAAATTGACCAACGTTGTAATCGCCAAGATTCGCAGCGATCTAGATGAAGCTTATCCAGGAAATCATTTGAGGTAAGGATTTTGTAAACGCGCATTATCTAGTGCATTAACTTTTAGATGTACTGCTGGCCAAATCAGCATCAAGATGGACAACTCGAACGGCCGAGAGAGGATCCAAGTGAGAGCGCTGACTTTTGAGATCATCGAGTCGCTCAATCAAGAGTCTGTCAAGGTAAATTTGTATTTGAAACTAATTTTAACTTAAAATTTATTTAGGGGGCCACTGAAAGAACCTACGTTCCACTGCTCACATTCAAACGAGAAACCGATGAGGATCGGAGTGAGTCGAGCATCAAAGTAGACATTATGAGACCGAGTGTCGGAGAGGAGGTGAAGAATGTTTCAAAGTGTGCAATGCTAAAATCTAGAGTTTCCTCTAGAGTCTAGAGTTAGCAATCCTAACACTATTCATACTTTTTATCCTAATTTATCACAGATCAATCTCTACCTCGGTCGAGTCGTCTCCGAGTTGGACATTTCGATGCTCGACCGGATCGCTTCCCTAATCGCTCCACAACCATTCTTCCTTGAACCGAAACTTGGTGCTTTTGCTCAAAGTCGACAGGTTTTTGCTTATTCATTGATCCAATCCAATCCCCAGTTCCAGAAATATCCATCTCGTCTCTCTGAACGTCTTTTCGGCAATGAACCTGAAGAGAAACCATCAAAAACGCTTGTTAATTTGAATTGTAAAGAGTGGACGATTGATCTAAAGTGAGTTTTAAATATATTTTCGACTTTTGCATCTAAATAAGTACTGATCTGTAACTGAAAATTTGCCTTACAGATTCCCGGTGGTGAACTTGTGCAACAATCGAAATGACTTTCATATCCGAAATTTGCATTCCGAGGTTAGTTTGAGAACAATTGAGTTGACTAGAAAGTGAAAAATCAAAATCTTTAACATTTTCAGATTCTTCGAGTAAAATTGACTGGAGTGAGAGCAAGTCTTCCATTCGAGGGTCCACACGAGATTCGATTCGAACTGCTAGCCGATTCCCTCGTTGGTAAGCGGCTTTTTTTTACATTCCATTTTTACATTGTTTATTTGGTACAAGATCAATTCTTCAAGAATAAATCTCGTAAATTTAGGTTGGTTCATCGGTGACGAAGATGTCTTAAAATGTCGTTCTGAGGACTTTTGCTTCTTGTACGGCGAGAAGAAATTCGATACCGACTCGCAATTTGTCAAGTGATTTTAAAATCTGAGTGTTAAATTTCAAAATCTTAAGGTTTTCTGTAATCTACGACCGAAGAAACAAATGTCTAAAGGATGCGAATCTTTCAACAGAGCAAAGACATCCGGATATGGAAAAGGTGAGGAGTACAAGAGAGATATCAGCCTTACAATATCAGCCTTAAAGCATAAGCAATACTTTATTCCACACTTTTACAATACTTTATTGTATTTCGATAGCTTGTTTGATAGTTTAAACATAAATTCTAGAACAAAGTAGGCTAGCTACAGTCAGGCTGACGCTAATTTAGCCTTGCAAGCCATGGCCTTGGGTCACAACTAGTTTTATCAAGGAAATCTATTCTCATTTTTCAAATCCAAATCGTTTCTAGAGCTTCTCAGCTGCAGTAATTGGATCGGTGCCAAAGCGTGAAGGCCTTTTTGCTCAAATTCATCAAGCTTACACAAGAGATGAGACAAAATGGACTGAAGGATTGGATGAGATCGACACTGAGATGCAAAGCGAGAACTCTGCGGCTATGGTAAAAAATGAGAGCTGAATAAATTTAGCACTTTTTAGTGCTCAATCGTTCGAGCGGGAAGCAGAGCCGAAATGCAACAGTGGTCAACACAATGTGAAGCCCAATCGAATGTCAAGGTTTGTGAAAGATAGAACTAATGGAAAATTTATAAATTCAGATGTCCATTCACATTCCCGTTCTTCGATTGCACATCCCGAATCACGCGTTTTTGGAGCGGCTCTACAATCGACTGGTAAGTGATTGAGCGAACTGCACTTATTAAGATTATTGAGATCATTGAGATTTGTTGCTGCCAATCTAGGAAAAACTACAGTTTAAACCAACTTCTAGAATTGTTGCCAGTCTAGAACTAAAGCAGATTACAACTAACTTCAGGTGAACGATCTTCCCCTCTGGGTTCCTTCATCTCCAAGGCTCTCAAAATCTGATTCTAATCAGCTCACCGAGACTTTCCGACAGTGCAAAAATGATGGTAAGTTCTCATTTTTTGCTTAAAATCTATTATTTATCATAAAATTAGGTTTAAATCTACAAATCTTAAGCTCTTAGAGAACTATTAGGCTGTCCAGAAAGAAAGAAAGTTCCCATGAGCATTAAATCTGCTTTTTTTCTTCTTTTCAAGCCAAAGTATCTTCAATTTAGTTGAGGTGCACGATTCGGATACAAGCAGCGAAACGGAACACGATGAACCATCGCATTTCACGAATGAAGAGCCGATCGATCGATCGAAGAATCATCTCTTCTCATTGTCTTTCAAATCGAACAAAGCTTCTTTTGTTGTAGGAACTGAGGTTATTGAGGTGAGGTGGCGCTTATTCAATAAACAAGTTCATTGATTTATCTGACTAACTTTAGAACAATCAGCCAGTCGATGAGGCTCAGGCGCAAGTGTGTGCCGAAATGGAGGGTCCTCTCCTCTATGTGCTCTACGGATTCCACGCAAATCCCCTTCAAACATTCTTCTACTTCACCAGTCAATCACTTCAAGTCGCACATGATCGTAAGATTTAGAAAAGCTTTTAATCTAAGCAAAGTTTAGAACGAAACAAGGCACCGAATAATGTATGTGAGACGAATTTCGGGCGATATCAAGCATTTCGTCATGATATCGTTGTCGAGAGAGTGTTTGACGAAGATTTGGTAGAGTTGGGTGAAGAGGATTGTCTCAGTGTGGCGATGGAGTTGAACTTGAGAGCGAATCAAGATGATGTTAAGGTGGGAGTTGCTAGTTACTAGGCATAGCTTTGTGAAATTAAATCTATAGTCGAAATATTAAAGTTGATTTCCTTTTAGGATACAACTCTTGCAATCAGTGCTCGGCAACTTCTTATCAACGCTCGCCCATTCCGAGACGCTGGTCATTTGTGGGTGACGCAACTCGCCGCTCTCTTTACACTGAATGATTTTGATATTGAGGGATATGAGGTGCCAAAGGTAATATAAAACAAGATCAAAATATAAATGCATACATTATTTAAATATAAGCCTCTAACATTAAATCTCAATTTTCTAGGTTCAAACTGAGTTCCACGTGAATCTCGACCAAATCGTACTTGCCTACGATCACGGAGACGCGATGCCGGGCAGTGATCTCAAATTGAGGTTAATTTTGATAAACCCTATCAAAAAACATTAACATTTGATATTTTCAGAGTTTCTCTTTCGCAAGCTGACATTTGTTGTGGATCGTTGGAAGCGGATTGTGCTTGTGAGCTTCTTTGTGTTTTTGAGAGAACGAGAGCTTTCCTCAACAATCGGCCAACAAAAAAGGTTTGCTAAAAATTGCAAAATCCTATTTACTTATCTAATATATAGAATTTTACTTATACTTATCAATATTTCAATTTCAGACAGCCAGATTCGATGATGATGTTCCCCGAAGAAAGGAGAGAACGGGACGAGAACCGAGTCCTTATGTTCAAATCATGGACGTGGGACTGTTTCAACTTGAGGTTAGAGATAAAAGCCTTAATAAAACATCTTTATTGTATTAAACATATAAAACACTACTGTATCCAGCACTAACCAGTTTCAAAAGTGACTTCTTTAGGTCCGCTTGGCTCATCCAAATGTTACCCGACAGATGATCCCACAAATGGAGATCCGGTGCACGAATGATCTGATCAAGGTAGAGTTTGAGTTATCATTTGTCTCTGTGGTAAGCTTTTGTCTAATCTAGAAATCTAGAATATCTAGAAACACAATTTTTCAACTTTCAGCTCTGGCTCTGTGCCGATTCTCTTGTCACCCTTGTCAATATGGCCTCAGAAATCTCACAATCGGAAGCCTTCGCTCCAATCCCGATCGCTGAACCAATTGTTGAAGAAGATGATGTGGAAAGATCAACGGTTATTGATGAGGTAAGGATTTAAAACTGAAATTTTCAAGCTTAAAATCGTTCAGGGAAAATCCGAGGCTGGTGAATCGACATGGAGTCGTCCCGCATCAAACAGACCACTTGAAATGCCACTACCGGTTGATAAAGCTCAACAATTACAGGTGAGAATAGAAAAGGAAATCAAAAAATCTATGCTTATATTTAAGCAAATGATGGCAAGCGCGATGGAAGAAGAACCGTCATCGAGTGCGGCCATTCCGGTGGCCATGGAGGCGATGGAGACGTTAGATGACTTCTGTGACACGGCTCCTGGGTCATATGTGGGTACTATTGCACTAGTTGTAGAACTTAATACGTAAGCTCAATAGTAGTGATAAGTAATCGTGATAATTAAGCTTAATTAAGCTATGCAAGAGCTGTACAAAGAAATTGATAATTCAGTAGTCAGTCAGTTCAGATAATTCAGAGCTTTTCAGTGCCGTACTTAGGTTTAACTGAAGCTTTTAACCTTTATTTTTCTACTTGATCGATCCTGTTTTATCTTAAAATTCTAAATCTGTGACTTTTCACTTTTCAGAGCTCTCGGAGCAGTCGAAGAAGCCGAAACCGTGTCGATTCCACATCGGAGAACTATCACACAAGAAACACATCACTTTCCACGGACGACGAGTTTTGCATGGTTGACGATGTCTTAGGAGCCGGGATTTTAGTCAGTTTCTAAAGCTAATCAAATATAAAGCATTGATTCTAGGGCTCACACGGTGAACCAAGAATCCGAGCACTTCGTCGGGGCTGTACTGCTGAGGAAACGGGAATTTCCCCTGAAAGATCCTACTTCTCCCAAATCAACGATACGAAAGTCGATGGATTGGCTTGTAAGTGATTTCTAATCGATTTTTTATTAATTTAATTAACCAACTTTAATTAATAATTTCTAATTCTACTGATTTTTAATTTTCAGCTCTTCCATCCGATTATGTTCAACCAATTTGTCGGTATCACATCAAAGACGTGAGCATTCAGTTGCATCTCTTTGCAGGAAATGATTTTGGTAAGAGTTTAAACCAATGTTCATGTAAGGCATAAGGCCCTATCCTGGCAGGAATGAGATACTTGTCAGTATAGCTGTTTGGCAGAGCTTTGCCTGATAAGCGAGAGGCCGTGGGTTCGAATCTCAACCCATAAAAGATAAATGGGCGATCCAACATTCAGATTTATCACTACGGTTACAGGTGATCAACGAGACGAGCCAAGACCGTATAGTACTGATGAGTATAGAGAGGGATCAGGGAAAGGACAAACGGTGCCGCGTGAGGAGAGGGGAGGACCACATAGAGATCACTCTGTATCAGTTATTCTCAACTTAAGCAAGGTGAGTTGGATGAAGTTTAAAACAAAGTTTGATTTGCAATCGATACAATTGATCTGTATTGATTGATTTTTGATTGATTGATTCAATTGGCAATCGATCTTGGTTCAGCATTTGTTTCAGATTGATTCAGATCTTGACATTGACTAGTATCACTTGATTCCTGAGATTCACAAATCTTTAGGTTAGCCACCAAACAAATTAGCACTTTTTTTACCTTTTCATAACTCTTTACATTCAGATCCAAGTCCTTCACCAAATCTTCGACCAATCGGCGCCGATGATGGGCATGACTTTTGCCACAATTCAAGATATCACAGTGAAAGATCGGCTAAGATCGAGTGAAATCAATGAAATGTTGTACCAGGTAATAGAATAAATAATTTGAATAGATTTTCAAAAATATTATTTAGTACTTTACCACGGAGAACCCGCGTCGCACTCTGGCTCCAATGTTGGCGATTCGCGTGGCCGAGACGCACAAATGTGAAGGGAAATTGCGGGTAAGTGGTGCAATTATTTAAATCTAAATATCTAAATATCTAAATTAAAGCATATTTGGCCTAAATCTATAAAATCTAGGTCTCATTGTTGCCCGTTCGAGTGAACATCGATCAGTATACCCTCGATTTTCTCGAAGATTTCTCAACAGCAGTGATCAAGAATTTGAAGCTACCACATAATGGTAAAAATAATAATCTAATAATATTAGATTAATATTTATTTAGTGAATCTTCCTATGAAGAAAAACCCGGTGATCGAAGTGCCGACAAGGATTTTGGAGAGAGAAGAGCAAGCGGGCGGACGGCTTTATCCATCTTTAAGCTCGGAGCCGTTGACACCGAGTCCTCTAATGCCTCATCCATATGGTAAATCTTCTTAAAAAAATTGTTTGGCTAGACAAATTTCTAAAAAGTTAACATATTTTTCATCAAAAAAAGTTTTCAGTTGACCTCTCACCACTCGAAGAAAGACCCTCATCTTCACCAGTGAAACGACCACTCAACATCGATCCAATGCACGACTCTATGGGTAAATTTATTCAAATTTATACGTTTTTAAGTATATTATTTAATATAAGTGTGTATTTTCACTTTGTTTTTACTTTAGACAGATCAAATTTCAGCTTTCTGCCGAGATCCATCCCCAAGAAAGGGCAATGAGATGAGCTACAGTATGAATGGCTTGTCAACATCATTGCGTAAGTTAGAATCTTTGACTTAAGTTCTTAAAACTTAGTGACTTTATGACTTTTTAGCTGAAGCCACTGGTGATTACAATAACCCCGATCTGTTCACTGTTGGAGCTGAGGATATGCAAGGAGACTGGGCAAGCAGCTCGATTCGGTGAGTTAGAAAAGATTTTACAAGCTACAAAGTGAGGCTTAAAAGATAATATGTAACAGAATTTAAGGATGACTCTAAATAAAGTTTAAATCTTGTTTCCAGGATGAGTCCCCCAGTGCGTGATAGTCCAGAGCCTCTGCTTCCCGATCTCTCACCTCCTCCACCATCTCGAGGTCCCCTCTCTCCATCAGTCGATCAATTATTGATGAGAAGTACAATGGAGGGATCAATTCATCCACATTTGGATAACATGGATTCACCATTGTATTCAAGAGATGGATATGGAGAAGAACATGGTGAGAGAGGACATCAGATTATAGTAAAAAACATTCAATGTGAATTCTGAAAACTGATAACTTGGTGGTATTTTAGATGAGGAGAGAGATGATGCAACAACGACAATGGAGCAATCGCACGTTCAACCGCAAAAGCTCACCACTTTCTTCAAGTCAGTTTGAAAAGGATCAGTTTACAATAGAAATTAGTTTTTTTTACCTGAGAGTGGTTTGAATTAGAATCGATCAGAAAAGATGAAATCCGCTTTTCAAGTCAGTTTCAACCGTACTGTATGATTTTTAGCTTAGGCTACGAGTGAGTAGGATAATCAGATACTTTTTGGTCTACAGGGTGTAGATTTTGTAGCAAAGATATAGCCAAATTTGGAGCATCCCAGGGAATTTGGGCATAATGATGCTGAAAGTGGCAAAACCGGCTCAGTCACTCAGCGATTAACTTCAGCGATTCCAAAAGAGAAGCACCCTATCCAAACATGTTTGCCAGATCGCGAGCGATCACGCGGCCGCACAAAGAGCACCGCATCAGTCATTTACATAGGGATTTCCTTTGCTTTGTAGATGATATAAAAAGATATTGGGCTGTAAATTTGTAACTAGGGGTTTTCGGGATCTGGGAATCGATTGGCCCTATTCATTTTATTGAGTCTACCAATAGAACTAGGGTTTTAATTGGTCTAAAGTTGTAGATTTAATGAGAATCTAATTCGGACTCCTCCTTTAACTGTTTCTAATCAACTTATTAAGATTTAATCTTTTTCATTGCTTCAGAGAATTCGTTTTCTCACCATCCGCCACTTTCTACATCGACTATCAAGGGAAACAGATCAATTACGAGAAAGATGGTTAGTGAACTCATTTCCAAAAGATACTTAGATATTCAGCTTTATTTAGTAAATCAAAACATTCAGCTTACTTATTTTTCCTTACAGGTGCCGTTCTTGGTGTTCTGAAAGGTCTCGGGAAGTTGAATCGAACGGAGATCGTGCTGAAAGAGATTATTTGTCGGAATGGGCTACTTGGATACGATCGTTGTCTACAGGTAATACGCTGAATATACTTAAAAAAAATATCTCTTGAATCCATATAAACTCGTTTTCCAGTACGCAATCGATGAATGGAGTGACGACATCGTCTCTCATTTCCCCAACGTCTTGGCCTCATGTGGACCGATTAGTCCACTTGTGCAAATTGGTGAGTTCGAAAAGAAATATAATGATAGCTAAATACTGTAATTGGCTTGACAAATAATGTAATAACAAATTTGTATGCAAAGCAGTTTATCTGTGAGTCATTCCAGGACGAGGTTTCTACGATCTCTTCTGGATGCCGGTGAGCGAGATGAGAAAAGAAGACGGCCGACTTGTAAAGGTTAGAAATAAGCTTAAAAATAAAATATATCTATTAATAGATAAACCAATGAAATCTCCACCATTTAGGGCATTCAAAAGGGCGCAGGCAGCTTCGGAGTGAGCACGGCAGCGGCAGTGGTCGAGTTGGCGCAGACTTTAGTCGGAGCTGTGCAGGTTTGGGAATTTGAAAACGATTATTGTTGGATGAATATAATGAATTGAATATTAAAAATATTCAAATTCATTATAACAATAAAATGAATTCGATTTTAGTATGCAACGGAGGCGGTTTTCAACGAGGTGAACCCAGCCGAGCCATATCAAAACCTGAGAAACAGAAAAGCTATAGGTAAATGGCTAAAATGTATACAAAAACAAATTATCTAAAGTATTTACACTTTTTAAAACTCAATTTCATTTTAAGCCGGTCGATCTCAAGCAGCGCCAGCCGATTTGCGACAAGCAACTCAAAGAGCTTACGATATTGTGAGAGATGTGAGTTTAAAAAAAACAATTCTAAATTTATTCATTAGATATTTAGCTAATCTTGATTTTAATTAAGTTTAATTATTCAAATAAAATGAAATATTTTTAGGGAGTAATGCAAACAAAGAGTGATCTCGATGCCGCCACTCAGGAAAATCGAGCAAATGGACAATCGACTTTGAGGTAAAGAAAAAAAAAACAATTAACAAATACTGTAGCTAGAAGAGAATGATTTTACAGTACAGTACAGATTTTCGTTCTTAACCTGTGCTTTTTCAGATCTTGGGCTCGATTCACAGCGCCGGCTATCATGAGACCATTTGTGATGACAACTCAAGTAAGTATTTGAGCAATTTAATCTTTTTAAGGTTTGCTTTTAAGATTTAAAAGGTTTGCTGATTAAAAAGCAAAAGAAATTAGACATTTTGACAAAGCTTTAACTCTTTCTAGGTGACTTATCAAATGTTGGGCGGTTTGCGAAATCAATTACGACCGGATGTTTACATGGAAGATCGCCATAAATGGAAAGGAGCTGAGCCCGGGTCAACTTCTCATTAAATCTCGGCTTTTGTCACAAATTTTTTTAAAATATTCTTGAATTAATTTAATTACTTGTAAAGGCTCAATATTGCCCCGGTTGTTTTTTTTAAAATGTTTTAAAGTTAGATGAAAAGAAAACAGAAAAACTTTCATCTCAATTTGTCAAGTTTTATTTTTTTTTGTTTTCCTGTTTCAGGGTCATCTCAATTTTAGAAATTCTAGTTTCTTTCAATATTTTGAAATGATTAACAGCTCATCATACTTGTGATTGTCTGTTTCTAGTTTTATAACCACAGAAAAGCTCTCTTTACTGAATCTGAGGTTTTTCCTTTAGGTAAACTTTTTTAAAAGGTTTGCTTGAGAAAGGCTACAGTAAGTTCTAAGTTTTTTTCTAACAAAAAGAAGCTACAGTAATCCTACTTTAAACCAAAAACAACTGGATTACTGGTAACTTTCTAAATACCTTTTTAGAAGCTAACAGATTGCAAATTCTGCAGACATTTAATTGTAAATCTGAATCTGTACCAGTAAAGAGTTTTTTCTTGTGAATCGAAAAGAGATATCGAAAAGGGTATCCTCAATCCTGCCGTTTTATCCTAAAATCCGTGTTAGAATAGATTTTAACTGAATATTTTTCAAAAAAACTACTTTGTAAATAGTTGTTGTTGATTTTCTGTCAGCTTTACTCTAAAAGAATTCCCCTTGACAAGTAAAAATTGTGTTAAATCACTTTTTTTTTGTTTTGTTAGTGCCTTGAAAGAATTTAGAAACGAATAAATTGTTTACCATTTGAAAAAGACAAAAATTGAAAGCAAAAAAAGAGAAACGTTTACGGTAGAAATTTATCTTAAAAACGGAAATAGCACAGTTTAATCTAAAATATATTCACCATTATTATTGATTACTTCTTGCCATCTTTTGCACAAAGAATTGATGCCGCTCTTGAAAAACTCAGCCGGCTGTGACTCGAAAAACTTGGCGACCCAATTTTGGTCATCTTCAATGAATTTCTTCATCTTCTTCTTGAATTTCTCATTGACCAAAAAGTTTTGAATCGACCGGAATCAAAGGTAATCTGAGTGAGCCAAATCGGGAGCATACGGCGGATGTGGTAAAACCTCCCATCCTAGATTCTCCAGTGTTTGCTGAGTCATTTTTGCAAGGTAAGGTCTAGCATTATTATGGATGAACTTTATCTTTGATGTGTTTCCTTGACGAATGAGAGCTTCATTGACCCATTGCTGTTTGTAGAGATCGTACCAGTAAAGAGAATCTGTACCAGTAAAGAGTTTTTTCTTGTGAATCGAAAAGGGTATCCCCAATCCTGCCGTTTTATTCTAAAATCCGTATTAGAATAGATTTCAAACTGAATAAAATACTTTGTAAATAGTGGTTGTTGATTTTCTGTCAGCTTTACTCGAAAAGAATTCCCCTTGACAAGTAAAAATTGTGTTAAATCACTTTTTTTTTTGTTTTGTTAGTGCCTTGAAAGAATTTAGAAACGAATAAATTGTTTACCATTTGAAAAAGACAAAAATTGAAAGCAAAAAAAGGGAAACGTTTACGGTAGAAGTTGGTGCTGAACTAGAGTTACAATGGTTGAAATTGCAGCAGCAAAACGTTCGTCCGTTGATCGTTCGGCAACTGTTTTGATAACCCTGAAAAAGTGCGTGAAGAAATTGCATAAAACCTGGTCTCTTTAATGTAAAAGAAGCAAAAAACTCTTTAAAACTATTCAAAAATCTCTTAGAACTATTCTGTACTCTCTCAAACTCTCTCAAACTTACGTCAGGATGATAAAAGGATCGATGTCCCTGTATTCGCTCACAATCACCACCAATGTCACAACCTTTCTCAATCTGAAAATATTAGAGAAGTTTTTTAGTTTATGGTTTTATGGTTTTTAGTTCTTTTCTTTCAATTTAAGCCACTTTTTAAGATTTGTAAGAAATAAAGATTTTGGTTTGAAAATATATTAAAATGAGCAACGCCAATCGATTCCCTGACTCCGAAAATCCCCAGATACAAATTTTCAGCTCAAGATCTCATCTGAGCATCATTTTTAGAGCAAAAGAAGTTTTTCATGTGTGCTCTTTGAGTGGTCACGGAATCGCTCGCTGCCTGGTCAACCGCTTTTCCGTATAGGGACGGAAAGTCGTTTCGAAAAATAATGAAAAATTTGAAGAAAGCGAACTAAACGCACTCTTCCTTCGGGATTGATAAACGTTCGGCACCAATTCGAGTAACATTCCGCGAAAACCCCCCACTGGGTGGTCGCACATTGGATTGAAGCCAAAACTGCCCCGAAAAGTCCCATGAATACAATGAAGCTGTGAATCGATCTCATTGTCGAATTGTAACTGTTGAATGAAATGTTTCTGACCATTCGATCGGCTTGTTGTCGATATTTGTCCGAAAACATGACTCACACAAAACCTTTCATTTCAAGGTCTTCTTCTTTCTTCCCCTCTTCAATATTTATTTGCTATGCAAATCATTTGCTGCATTGAAAAGATAGGGTAAATTTCTTCAATTTCTTCAATTTCTTCATAGAAATGGAATGAATGGATGAGTCAATTTTCGATTACTTAAGAATTTTGGGGTTATTTTTTTTATTTTCAAAAAGAAATCAGTGATTAGAGTTAGAATTTAGAGGTATGCAAATGAAAATTTATAAGGAAAAGTATTTAAATGAAAGAGAGATGGAGTGACTTGTGAAAAATGATTTGAATCAATTTGTCTTCCCCAGAAACGTCTCTTCAATTTTTTCCTAACAATAGTTAAAAGTTAGGTAAGACTTTTACAATAATTCTACCGAATGACTCAAATCTTTTGCTTATAAATTGTTGTTCTAATTCAATTCTTTTCTGTGCTTTATCTTTCAATATTTATCTTTCACCTCGTGAAGAAAGATATTGCGTTAGAGAAATTAAAAGATCAAGATACTGAAAAATGATAGAATTTTCTTGGAAATCACTAGCGCTAGAAGTTGGCGAATGAAATGAAACTGGCGAACTGGCGACTCAAATGAATACTTTTATCAAATCTTTTGCTTTCATTATAAATTGATGTTCTAATTCAATTCTTTTCTGTGCTTTATTTATCTATCCTCAAAATTCTTCACTTCCGTTTTCTCAACGTAAATCGATCGACTCTGATTAACAAGCTGAGTGGATTGGCTTTTAAAGGCGAGATTGATAGGTTGATTGATATTTTATACAGTGTACAAAGTAGTCCAGAGTCTAGGTTGAAAAATAGGTGTAAAAATTATTTTGTCAAACATTTCAAAGAGGTTTTTCTTGGTTTTCAAGATAGGCGGAAATATCACTGAGGAGTGCAGAAATTTGCGCGTTGACAGATGGGATGATGCATTGAATGAATGAAAGGAAAAAGGAAATGAAAGGGAAAAGGAAATCACAGCAATTGCTGGCTCTGTCTTTCAGATTTGAGCTCAGGCTTAGGGTCTCACGAGCTCTCTGTTTTGAGTCATGTTCGAAGTCAAAATGAAAAAGTATTGAAATTGCAGACAAGATCTAGAAGTAAGTTTATCAAATTTTTCTTAGAGCTATGTTCTTGAAGAAAGCTACAGTAATCCTGACTGGATACCTACGGATCCAGTTAGTTACTCGAGGATTACTGTAGACTGGATACCTACGGATCCAGTCAGTTACTCGAGGATTACTGTAGACTGGATACCTACGGATCCAGTCAGTTACTCGAGGATTACTGTAGACTGGATACCTACGGATCCAGTCAGTTACTCGAGGATTACTCTAGTTTTCTTTACCTTATTGTAGGAAGAGTGCTTTCGTTGAGCTATAAACAGTAAAAGCCTATCGATAAGATAAAGAACCTGTCTCACAGAAAGACTCTTGGCTTACACTAGTTCCTGAGCCCGCTAGAGCCAGGCCTTGACCTAACTTTTAGCCAGACTCTTGCCTAACTTTGCTTACAAGTCCTAGAGCTTACAGAGAGACTCTGGACACCAATCAAGATCGTCTTTGGTCCTCATCCTATCACTTACCAATCATAAAACCGAATCTTCCTTTCTCCACCAAGGCGAGTGCAATTTTTCTTCATCCAGGTGATTTCTGATGGACTGAGAGGAGTGTTTTGATATGGTTTACGGGTGTGGGAAGAGTGACTCTCAAAGCAAGAGGAGAGAGAGAGAGAGAAGAGATCGCTGAGTGAGGATAGATGGGTCTGCCACTCTGTGGCCACCATCAACCTCTTTCAGTAGAAAAGCCGAAGGAGATCCAAATCAAGCGAATTTCGTTTACACTAGCCTTTCGTCTCTTTCGTCGTTGTCCATCTCCCTTTTCCCTATCAAAGACTTGATCGACCGATTGAGAAGACCAACTGACTGTCCCTTTCCCTCTCCGTTTCCTTTCTCCTTCTCTCTTGTCTCCTTTTTGCTCACTCTCGATATTATTATTATTTACGGAAGTCCACTACATAGATAGGTCATCGATTTTTGAACTTTTTGGCTCTATATTCAACAACAGACATTAGGATTCTTTGATCTATTTCTTGATGTTGTGCGTTCTCGATTCTTCGATACCTTATAAGGCTTTAGCTTTAAACCGTGAACTATATTTGAGTCTAAAATGGTAAACAGAAAATATCCAAATCTTTTTGTTTTTCCATTTGTCTACTATTGTAAGATTTTTTCAACCTTTCAATTAAATCTACCAGTGAAATCCGATTTTTGCTTCGAATCATTATAAGCCGTTCTCAGCGACCCGTTGCAGCTACCGGTGTGACCGAATGGTTAGTGTTCTTGCCAAACAAGCAAACCTTCGAGGGATCGAATCCCGCTCATTTTCATTTGGCTTTTGCTTTTTTGTTTTTCATTAGTTTTTCAAGAAGCGATTAGCTGAGGCCAAGATCCTTATTACCCTTCCATTATTCCCTTCCATGAAAGAGTAATAATTGTACATATTATGTACAATTATTACCCTTTCATTAACGAAAGCTAAGTCAAAAGCCAGGTTTTTAATTAATACTTTCCCATCGTCCTACCTTTTAGAAATCATTGAAATTTTGTGGAAATTTTGATTCGAATCGACTGATCGTATAATTTTCTTAATACTTTTTAAACAACTTGTTGATCTGAAGATATAGAACATTAAAATCAAAAAAACTATTTTCCTAAATACCTTTCAAGCTAATAAACTACTAGTAAACCGTCAACTAGAAACTTTTTTTTATTCGAAACTCATTATTACATGTGTGCTAGATAGTGTTAAAAGAAAAAAAAGATGTAAAGAAGGAGTAGAAAAGGTGAAAAACTTAATAAAAGGTCATAGAAATGTGAAGAAAAAAAAAAAATACCCTAAAACATAAATACCCCAAAACAAAACCGTTAATTAACTTTCAGTTGCTTAACTGAATATCTTTAACGGTGTTTTGTTGGTTCTTTGCTGGGCGAGAAATTGTTACCGTCGTCTAGACGAAAACTACGGTAGAATTAATTTTGATATATAAATATTCACTCACATCGCATTTTTTGACAGTTTTTCGGGAGTGGGACAAATGCTACCTTTTTTTTGCGCACCTGGACATTTGCGCACCTTTTGCTGGAAAAGGCCTTAGGCAAGGCCGTAGAGCTTCGAAAATATTTCCATATAGGGGAATCGTATGCGTAGATTCCGAATTTCGACAAATCAGACCTCGCTGACACGTCAAATTTGGCCTAAAAGGCAAAAACTGCGGAAAAGCATTAAGTTGCGTAGTTTTTGCCTTTTAGCCCAAATTTGACGTGTCAGCGAGGTCTGATTTGTCGAAATTCGGAATCTACGCATACGATTCCCTTCTATGATAACATTTTTGAAGCTCTACGGCCTTGCCTAAGGCCTTTTCCAGCAAAAGGTGCGCAAAAAAAAAGGTCGCATTTGTCCCACCCCCAGTTTTTCATAGTTTTTCCGGGTTTTTTTAGTGTTTTTAAGGTTTTTCTTTATGCAATTCTTGTAGAGGAGACTATGCAAATAGTCGTAATCCTAGAAAATCACTTTTGAGGCTGGAGTATCCCCTTTAAAATGTTTTCAAATCAAGACAGTCTATGATACTTTTAGACAGTCTATAATACAAGCTCAAGTCTAACTCCAATCCAAATCCAATCAACCTGTTGCTGAATTTGTGTACTGATGAAACAGTCTTGATTTCCTTATCACTTACGAATAAATCACCCGGGAGTAGGTGGAAATGAAGTAAAAGAGAAAGAAGAAGAAGAAGAAGAGCCCCTCGAACCGCCCATCACTCTTTCAACCCTGCTTTCCTCTCTTTTCTCATCAAATCCTTTGATCTAAGAAATTTTGAGAAAAAGTAACTATTCGATGTGTTGAAATAATGCTTTCATTTAAAAAGGTTAGACTTTTATTGTTCAGTTTAGAGTCACAGTTAGCTGCATAGTTGCAATCTATTGCATAGCTGCATAGTCGAAATCTATTGCATAGCTGCATAGTTAATCTATTGCAGAGCTGCATAGCTGCAATCTATTACATAGCTGCATAGTTGCAATCAATTGCATAGCTGCATAGTTAATCTATTGTTTCAACCATGCAGCTAATTACCTCCCAAATGACCTGAATAGGGAATGGATTTCGGAATTGATTATCAAGGACTGGACAAGACTCAGCTCAATATTGCTAAGATATCTCTTGAATCTACAGCTTTAATTCTTTTTCAATTTCATTTACAGCTCTTTATTTTTGTTCATAGTTTTACCTACGTCTTAAAATAGCGAAAGTATCAAATGTGGTTCTGTGCTTGGCTCAGGCTCAGGCTTAGGCTTAGGCTTAGGCTCAGGCTCAGCCTTTCTCACCTATACCAAAAACAGAAAACAAAACAAATTGTCAGCATTAGCTTTAGTTCTGAAATTTGAATATATGAAGAAGTTAGGCAAAGAAAAATTTCTATTTTTAACGAACTTGATCACTAAGACGCTATTTTTAATTCATAAATTAAAAATTCAAAGAATTCTTCATTATGAATCGATTGAAACAAAGATATTGCTGGATTGGTTGTTGTTTGTTGAGCGACTTCAAAGCCGCTTTCAATTCTCAATCCCTTACTTTATTTCCTTACCCTTTCCTCCTCCCAATTGACCCTCATCGATGGTCGAAAGCAATGTCGACTAGCTGACGTCATTCACAACAAGAGAAAAGGATGCCATTCCTTTGAGCTCTTGCATTTTTCGACCAGGATTTGTGAGCTTTCTTTTCTCTATTCATCCGTTCCTCTCATTTCTCTTTTCTCTCATTTTTGCGTCAGTTGTCACAATGATGGTGATGCGTCACTTTATCAATAATCCATTAAGCTTTCTCACCTATATCAATGTGTTATCCCCTCGAGAAATGCGTTTTCTAGAATGCACTTAAAAAGTACCGTAGTTAGATCGTTAGTTTATATTTAATCCGTTCG